GATCGGATACTTTTATTGAATGATAGTCATATAATAAAAAAAAAAAAGAAAGTGGCATAAGTATAGTTGAAAATAACTATGATTGAGCATAAGTGAGTTGGGCATAATGCATATATTAATTGAGCAAGAGCTCTAAATAAGCAATATTGTTGATTATATTAGTATTCTCTGGCAAAAGGACTGATACGCAGAGAGAGAAGTCACCCTTGATAATGCGACATATAGCTGACCATACATAAACGACGGACGCCGCAAGTCAACTCCTGCATATTTAAGTGATTGTCCTTGTGATTTGTTAATTATCATAGCAAAGCATGGTCTAACAGGAAATTGCTTTCTTGTTAGAATGAATGGCAAATCACCTTCTTGCGTTGAGAGTGTAAACCGAGATATAAGCTCTAATGGGCTATCCGGCTTATTGGCAAGGCGAGCCTGAAGCATATAGCTACTAATTCGTACGACGACCAGACGAGTACCATTGCATAAACCTCTTTCTGACTCAATGTTTCTTAATCACATTACTGGTGCACCAACTTTGAGCTCAAGCTTAGATGGAGGCAAGCCGGTAGGGTGTAAACTATGTAACTATTCTTTAGGAACAGTGTGTAAACCATCGGCTTCATTAACATCAGCAGAGTCTGTAGACAGAAGTGTAACCTTTTCACCAGCCATATTATCGAGAATAATACGGTTGATTCTTTCAACTGTGTCGTTTCTGGTAGTTAATATGGCCCTTTCACCAAAAAATTGACCATTGTTTATCGACATAGAGTTACTAATTTCTTCATCTTTACAGACTTCGCTGATAAATTCATTCAGTTGTTTGGTCTGATAGATATAGTCAGGAAGTGTAATTGAATCATAAAGTGTATGGTTATATGAAATGTCTGCTATAAATCTTGCAAATGCAATATAATTTTGATTAAAAAGGTTTGTTAAACGCATAGTCTGCGTAAGTCTCAAGAGCTGGAGTCTTGACAATAAAAATGACTGCTTGATTGACGCACTAACAGTGTCAGCTCTGTTACCCCTTCTGATCACTGGTGGGATCTGAGCAAAATCACCACCAAGAACAGCAGGCTTTCCTCCAAACAAATAGAGCTCATCAGGATCATCGCAGATGTCTTGAAAGGTGCGATGGATAGCTTCAAAGCAATACTTGTGCTGCATCGGTACTTCATCTCAAATGATCAAATTTGCTCTCTGGATGAACCAGCAAGATCGCTATCCTTTCGGATGTTGCAAGTGGAGCATATATATAGTGTTATTCTCTTTTACAAGGCATACCCATACCTGATTCTTTTAAAAAGGGCTTTATTGTAATAAAAGTGAATATCAGTAGAGAAAAAGAGAGAGAGAAAGGGGAAAGTAAGCTCATATGATTGTGGTCCAAGGCTTGGTTCGAACAAATGGCAAAAAAAGACTTAGTGTGCGGTTAATTTCCGGTAAAAGTTTGTGTTACTTGCATACTAAGTGTGTTAAGTGTGTTATTAGTGTGTTGTATAGTGTTACTACGTGCCCACTTGGGTTTAATAAAAAGGTTGTTTAACCGTATTAACATTTATTTTACCGAGCCGTACGTCACTAAACTAACGTAATAGGACAAGGCTTCGTTCATTTGTTATGCAGATGAATCTTTTGAGGCTAAAATAGTCTATAGAATACCCCTGTGCATATTGTGTATATATTGTGTAAAACAACTTAGTGATAGAATGACATAAATGCACATGTCAACTTGTGGCTAAAATTAAACTTTTTAAACAAGAGAAAGGGGCTGGCATACGTTTTCAAGAACAGAAATCTCGATGCACTAATCGGGTAAAGAGATCTATTTCTATGCATATCTATTTTAATTGCATTAACTATATTTGTTGACAACTCCCATCACCTTTCATTCCAAAAACATACCTTCTCTTAGTAGTAGTGAGTTTTATGTTCCTACTTATCCTCACAAAACTCCTTTTTGTTTTTGAAGAGCTTCAGGGTGAAATCGTTGATAGAGAGTACCGTTAAGCAAAGTAATTTCTTTTTTCCAAATGCAAATACCAGAGGTGCTTTGTTGAGTTACCTCATTTGACTCAAAGATAGATTTGACGATGTAAAAGAAGAGTACCTTTAGGGCCCTTTGATAATAGTTATTTTCGAGGACATAGTCACTGGTTTAAAAGCATGAGGTTCAATTTTCAAGAGTACACCAGACACAGGCAGCTTGTCTGTAACCTGTTTAAGTGTAATTGACAGCAATGGAATTTTCTTACATGCGTGTTTATACAAGTGTGTATGCAAAACATGTTTAAACAATATACTATTGGCCGATTGTTTGATAAATAAAGATTTTTTTTTCTTTTTCAATAACGGAAATATATGCAGGCTACTTAAATTTGGCTAGTGAGAGAAAATACAATGACAATAATAGCTTTGAATATATTTGCCTCTTTCAATTTATCAGATATCTTTGCAAGGTTTGGTAGCACACAAAGCTAATAAGTAGCACAGTGCTTCGGAATACAATAAAAAACACAACCATGATACCAACCTTTTTTGATAAATATGATGTTGTGTACCACTTCTAATCGACCACCTGGTGCATACCAGATCAACAAACAAATTCGAAAAGTTCAGTTATTGACTTGGTTGTGAATGAGTCACTTGGTAATTAAACTGATGATAGACGGGAAAAAACATATGTTGTATAGTGTGGTTAGTTAAAATGTCTTTAATATATACAGCATTTATTCAATGGTACATCGATGAGGTGACACTCATCAATGATAAATTCCAAAGCATTACAAGATAAACCATACCTCGGTCAGATTCTTGGCAAAAACCGTGTTTATTCATATTGTGAATAATAGCTGTATCTGCAAGAGAGTTTACAGTGTCTAATCTTGATACTTTATTCAAATATCCTTGTGTAGTACATGTTCATTGATATTTTTATTTATTATTAATGAAAGAGGATGAGGGGCAAACGCGGTGTAACTCTGACTGGGTATGTCGCGTACAATATATGAATAGACCCTTTACAAAAGTGACAGCTTCTTTCGAATATAAGAATGCAAAAGGAAGCTCCGTACATTGCTTTCATAGTTCCATTTATGATGCCACAACAAAACCTGTTTATTTTTATCTTTATTTGGTAAAGGCGAAGTTTTTAGCCACTGAAGGGCTTATTTACATCGCAACTTAAATCACACACTCCTTTTTGAATATTGTAACTTTTCATGGACTGAAATGGTAAATTGTAAAGAATATATACTTTCATATTGCAATGTACTCGTTACTTGGAAACAGAGGATAAAAAGGGAAGGTGGTGCATATCATCTTTCGGCGATTGCCAATAAAATAACAAACCCTTTTGTGTCAAAGTGCAAAAGACGAATACTGATAGGTCAAGCTGTGGTAAAAAAAGACATTTATATTACATAACAGTACATGAACAAAGGAGTTCCATGAGAAAAAGGAAATGTTGTACGCCTTGGACCGGGAACTAGGTTTTATTACAAACTGATCCAGACCCTTTTATTAAGACTTGGTTTCCTTGTAACTATATCTTGTCTGAATTACAACATTTTCATTCCAAAGATTAGTTGCTTGACAATGTGTAGAAATAACGAAAAAGAAAGGAATATAGGTTGCTAGGTAACACACTCATTGATCTTCACTGCAATGCAATCTATCCATCATGATAGATTAAGCTTCAGCGCCAATAACAAATACAGTAATCCATCCGTCAATCTTCCGTATATGTTACACAAATACTTGCACTCTCCAAAACACTATTGCTGTACATTAAACTATTGTTGCGCCTTCTTTCTTTCTCCTTTTTTATCTTTTCCAAAGCTTAAACATATGCCATTTGACAACCTTGTCAGTAAAAGAAAAAAACTACTTAGATTCTCTCTACGAGAAAAAATAAATAGAAAAGTTTCATCATTCAGTACGAGTAACCTCTCCATCAGTAGTAGAAGCTCGCGTCAATCACAAGAAGAACCAACAAAGAAAAATGATCGACAAAATTCGCCCAAACTCAGACCAATCTCCCAGTTCTTTTTCGCTAGAGACGAAGAGGACAGCCTAGAAGAGTGTCCTGAGTTTAGCAGGAGCAGTAGTTCGACTAGTACATATTCTTTCCAAACTCCAGTCACTCCTTCTCGAGCCAGCAGTAGAAAAAGAATGTCTGCCATCATCACATCTTCAGATGGATCAAAAGAAGATGTTCGCGCGGCAATATCTATATGGAAAGAGAGAGTGAGCGAATTATCAGCATGTGAGTGCGGACAAAGTGACTGTTTAAGCAGATTTCTTCTTGAACTCAACCTAGCTGTGAGTAATATATGATTGAGTAATACACACATATTAATCTATATTACAGAAGGATCGACCAGAGATGCAAAAACAAAGATTCAGTAAAAGCCCATCTACAAAAGATACAACCATGAAAAAGTTTATACTCAATGAACTTTTGGAAACAGAAAGATCATATAATCAATTACTTCATCTAATTCATTCAGCAAGTATCTTCTCAGCATAGAGTATAACAAAGAACTTATAATTACTACATATAGAAATACATGCAACCCATGATTCAAGAAGCATCAAGATCGAAATATTCGCTAGTCAGATCATCAGACATTCCATTACTATTTTCACATTTGCCAGAATTATTACAACTATCAAACAAACTATTAGCACAATTCAATGAAAAACCAAATGAAATAGGACAAGTCTTTAAAGACGTAGACTCAGAATTTGTTGTATTTTTAAAATATGCCATACATTATAAAAGTAATATGAAATCAATTAGAAAAGCATGTAACAATTCATTATTTATAAGAATCGATCAAGTAAGTACTTTATAAGCATGTATACAAGTATTGACAGCATAAGTATAGAAAATTCTTGCTAGTAGAGATACCAACAGGCTAGGCATGTCAGATTATCTAATTGCGCCTATTCAGCGTGTACCAAGATATTGCTTACTGATAAAAGGTACTCTTCTTTTATTAAGCAACCATGACATTAACTTGTAAAAAAAAAATCATAGACCTTTTAAGATATACTCAACCGCCAGACATACACCTGGAAAATGCACTCAAGGCAATGACAGGTTTAGTCACTGCAATGGATAACATTACATAACGTGGTTTATTGGATATCTTGTTTAGGCCAAACATGTAAATTTTTAAATTCATTCATAATTTCAATTAAATTATCATCTGTCAAGTATGGCACTTGATAGTTGAATCCTGTCTCTCTTTCTATTTTACTTGCATCTATGCAGAGTGAATGGTTATAAAGTAACTCCTTGTCCAAGTATGGCGATAAAGGTGTCGAACTGATGCCATTCTTACTTAAAAGTTCACCCCAAGGTGCCAAATGCTTTTCGTTGACTATCTCTACTACTGCATTCAAATCAAGCTATAGAGACGAATAAGCATATGCGTCACTGCATATATTGTGTTTACCTTGGCCATAGCTGAGATAGCATGACTATGATAACCAGTGTCAATGTTGAAAATACTTGATATATGCTGATTAATTATTCCTTGATCTGTTCCCTCATTTTAATATTACAATTCTGATTATTAAATAAAGTATTACCTGTATCTTGTTTATCTGCCAAATTAAAGACCACAGTTTCACCCTCTTTCTGCTGATCAAAGTACCATTGGGTCAAGTGCCAGCTGGCTCTGGCCACATCCCGAACATGAACCGTGTTAAGCTTGAGGTCTTTAGACCACAGACATTTCATTTCCTCATTCAAGTATTTGTACACTCTGCCAATGATCAAACGAGGTGCTGTTGTCAAGACATTAGAAGAAAGAAAACATCCAATAATTAGGACTTACTTAATCCCGTCAGAGCCCCAGGCCCATACACAATAGCTGGGCGAAGGATGATAAGATTTATACTAATTACACGTGTTAGAATCTTGTCATGTGCGTGGATAATGTCCGTACCCTTCAATAGATGACAATGCCTGTTCTGCTTCATATTTGTGTTTGCCAATAATTGTCCAAGGCTCGATACGCGACTGTTCATTGGATGGACTCTAAAATAACAAGGTCAACCGATGCTCTGTGTGAATATAACAATCTTACAGAGCTATGCTCATAGACTTCAGCTGTTGACATCTCGACAAACAATTTGACGTTACGCTTGGCTGCTTCTTTAGCGCAGTTAACAGACAAGTTGTAAATACGGTCATGATAGATTTCTGGTACTTGGGAATATTTCGTTTCCCCAGCAAAATTGAACACATAGTCAAACTCGATATCCTCAAAACAAGAAGCAATGGAAGCTATCCCCGAGTTAAAAACAAGTTTGTTTTTAAAGAATAGAAAGTACCTGGATTGATGAGGTTGCATTGCTTGTATTCGACATGTTTGAAATCTTGTTTAAACTGTTCAGATAAATAAGCTGTTTGAGGCAAGACTTTATCAGCGACACGTATGTGACCTGCCAACTGATGTTCTAATAAATAATGGATAAAATGGCGTCCAATAAATCCAACGCCACCTAATATTAACACGTTTGGTTTCTCGTTTGTCATTTTTATACAAGAGAAAAAAAAAAAAAAGCAAAGAAAATAGGCTCGTGTTACTATATTTTATCAACAAAGTTGGACATATTCCGCCCCTCTGACATACTCTCTCTCTCTGTCTTTTTCCCCCTTAATTTTTTAAAAGATAGAGAGAGAGATGATGATGATGAATTTCATGTTCTTATTGGACATATTCTGTAAATCCGTTTGGTACCACCATCCTTTATATATAAATTTGTCTGTCCTTCCTCTTTTTTCTCTTTTCTTTCAATTTCTTTCAATTTCTTAAAGGGCTACACATGAATTCGACTCATGTCGCTCGATCTACATCATTACCCAAGAGACAACGATCCCTTATTCGACCTGAAAGACAAAAGAATGATGCCAACAATCGGCTTTATCATTATCACCAAAGGGCAGAGACATCATTAAGACGGGGAAAGAGTATTTTGGGTAGAGAAGAGGATCATGAAGTAGTAAAAGAATATGACACCAAATCATCCGGCTTTTTCTCCAACTTTCAACCATGGCAAACCTATTGCACTTTACTCACTTGCTGTATTCCAAAACAATGTCTCAGATTTGCAGGTAAAATAAATGCAGGTACACAACAATAAAAAAGAGCGGCCCCTTAAATCTATTCTAGGTGTCCCAGATGGTCCTGCACAGATGGCTTGGCGAGAAAAGATCGGCTTGGTCAGCTTTATTCTTTTCATCATGGGATGCGTTGGCTTTCTTACCTTTGGATTCACTCAGGCTGTATGCCCTGTGCCTCCGTTAAGTCTCAAAGGTGGGCAGGTGAACACGGGTTATTTGATCATCGATGGTTGGGCCTATATGCTTGCTTCTTGGGATCATCCGATAGGTATCACCAACACGACGATAAATGTGCTTTATCCACCAATCAACGCAGGTGGTATGGACGCTACCTTTCTATTCCAATCTCCCAAACCACAGTGTGCGTCGATCTTTACATCCCTTCAAGGTGATCAGCCCATTTACTTTCCTTGTCAGCTATTCAACCCCAATCAGACTGATCCTCCTTCTCCTTCTGAATTTAATAATAGAACCTCATGCCATTTATCATCAGCCGCAAGATCCATGTATCATCAATTTCAAACGGAAGGGGTACCGAAATCAGGAGGTAACCAATTGGATAAAGCAGGAAGAGTATATTATGATTGGCAGGACGTACGTACGGCTGATTCACTCACTGTCTATAATGGGTAATATAAAGTAACAATGATATAAAGTATGCGTATTCATCTTTAATATTTATAGAAACGTACTCAATCTGAAACTACTTCAGTCTTTACCAACCGACTACTTTCAGGTCCCAGAAAACGGTCTCATTGCTCAAATGATGTCAGATCCTGCAAGTTTTGCAGGCACCGATATCACAAGAATGATCAGTGCCAGTGCTGATCCTGCATCGAAGCTTTGGGAAAGAGAAGCGCAGTGTTTGTCAGCTACGATTAAGGTCGGTTCACTCGATACCGTCAGCATCGGATGCATGGCATCAGACATTGTCCTCTACGTCTCTCTTGCCGTCATCCTCGGTGTCATCCTAATTAAATTCTTCTTGGCCGTTATATTTGGCTGGTTTCTTTCTTGGAGACTAGGAGACTTTAATGAAGGTGGATCGTATGCTGCCAGAATGCAACGTGCCGCTGAAATCGAGGACTGGACAGAAAACATGCAAGCAAGTGCACCGCTTAGCAAGCCCAAGGCATACTCTAGAAAACGTAAAACCTTGTTTCCACAGACGTCAAGATTCACACAGCCTATTCCTGGATCTACTCGGTTCGATGTGACAGGTTCAATGATATGGAAGACCCCAAACAGGTAAGATAGAAAGAAAAAGAAAAAGAAAAGACATTCGATACTTATAGAGTATCAGTGCACTAGAAGGGTACATGCATCGACAAATGGACGGAACAAGTAAGGCCTCTGTCTTTTATAATATGAATGCCTCGGGCGCTACATCAAGTCGACTTTTGTCAGCTGAAGGATTCTCTGTCGCATCGTCCTCCGCAGAAGCTGAGCTTCCCACATGTCCCCTTCCGCTCTCGCCCCATGTCCTTCATCAACCTCCTGCAGACTACATGCCATTCAACTACCCGCTAGCCCACACGATCTGCCTGGTCACTTGTTATTCAGAGGGTGAAGACGGTATCCGCACTACACTCGACTCGATTGCGACCAGTGACTATCCAAATAGCCACAAGTTGCTTTTGGTTGTCTGCGATGGTTTGATTACAGGATCAGGAGAAACCAAGTCTACACCCGAAATTTGTATCAGCATGATGCGCGATCTGATTGTCCCTGCAGATGAGGTTCAGCCATATGCTTATGTAGCCCTTGCCGACGGTGCGCGACAGAACAATATGGCCAAGGTGTATGCTGGCTTCTACAAGTACAATGACGCGACGGTCAACCCAGAGCACCAGCAACGTGTGCCGATGATCACCATTGTCAAATGCGGAACAGAGCAGGAACGTCAAAAGCCAGGTAATCGAGGCAAACGCGACTCCCAGATTATCCTGATGCAGTTTATGCAAAAGGTTATGTTTGATGAGCGCATGACCATGATGGAATACGAATTCTTCAACAGTATCTGGCGTGTCACTGGTGTGCCTCCGGACCGGTATGAGATTGTGCTCATGGTCGATGCCGACACAAAGCTCTTTCCTGATGCTCTATCCCGTTTAATCTCTTGCTCCGTCAAGGATCCCGAGATCTCTGGACTCTGTGGAGAGACTAAAATTGCGAACAAGACCGATAGTTGGGTATCCATGATCCAAGTGTTTGAGTATTATATATCACATCACCAATCCAAAGCGTTTGAAAGCATCTTTGGTGGCGTGACCTGTTTACCAGGCTGCTTTTGTATGTACCGCATTAAGGCGCCCAAGGGACCTGATGGCTATTGGGTACCTATTCTTGCCAATCCCGACATCGTAGCCAAGTACTCAGAAAACGTGGTAGACACCTTGCACAAGAAGAACCTTTTACTCCTTGGTGAGGATAGATATTTGTCCACCTTGATGCTTCGAACCTTTCCCAATCGTAAGATGATGTTTGTTCCTCAGGCAGTGTAAGTAAATTCCTTTTTTTTTTTAAAAAAAAAACAAGCAAGACAATAAACATGTGATGTAGGTGCAAGACGGTCGTTCCAGATACATTCAAGGTGCTTTTATCTCAACGCCGCCGCTGGATCAACTCGACCATCCACAACCTGATGGAACTTTTATTTGTTCACGACCTCTGCGGCACGTTCTGCTTTTCAATGCAGTTTGTCATCTTTATGGAACTTGTGGGCACACTTGCCTTACCAGCTGCCATCTCGTTCACTATATACTTGATTATCATGGCTATCCTTGGCCAGCCTGCGCTCATTCCACTCATCTTGCTTGCAATCATTCTCGGCCTCCCTGCTGTCTTGATCGTGATGACTAGTCGCAAGATTGTCTATGTTGGTTGGATGCTTGTGTACCTCATCAGCTTACCCATCTGGAACTTTATCCTGCCTACTTATGCCTACTGGCACTTTGATGACTTCTCCTGGGGAGATACCCGCAAGGTCGCTGGTGGCGACAAGGGTAACCATGGTGATAAGGAAGGTGAATTCAACAGTCGATTGGTAACCATGAAGAAATGGAGCGAGTATGAAAAGGAAAGAAGAATCAAGGAAGCCTTAGAGCGACATTTGCCTGTACCTCGATTTGCTAATGATCGAAGAGGTTTCGAAGTCTATCAGGGCCCCTTATTGAAGCGTTCAAGTGAAAGATCAACAGGATCTGATGATAGTAAAATACCTCTGACGGAACACGACGTTGTAAATCCAGTATCCAAACGTGTCAAAGAAGATCCCATTCCACTCAATGTGTTGGATCATCAGGATTCCCATTAGAACTGAAGTGCTAAAATAACATATATACCCCGTTTCTCTCATGTACATGCATCACATAATAAATAGTTTTTATACACTTTTATAAATCAAAAGAAAGCAAGCTGCTACGGGTATTGTTTTATTACCACAACACATTCTCTACTGCGACTTGGTACTCGTACTTTTGATTTCTTTAATAACTTCCTTAGCTGTATTATTTCTTTTTCTTTTGACAAAAGAATCCTACTCAATCGTTTGTTCTTTGCAATGAGTTCTGCAATTTTAACTTTTTCCTTGACAGTTGATAATCTATGGAGTTCATCTGGTTGTGATTGTGCTGGCTGGGATGGTGGTTCAGTCTGTATTTTTGATATAGTCTTTATCGATTTTGGTCTTTGTAAGATAGTACGCGTGTTGGTTATTTCATTATCGACCGTATCCCAGAAACTCACGCGAAGGTTAGCGCGATTCCTTATGCTATTATTATTATTACTACTACTACTACTACTGCTGTTACTACTGTTATTACTACCACCAATCATATTGATACTGCTGCTACTTCCAGTAATATTACTACTGATATTGCCGATATTGCTGCTGTTGTTTGTATTATTACTACTATTTGTAATTGATTTATTCGATACGATCATAAAGCCTAAAAAGTAAAAAGTAGATTAGCAATTAGTCAATGTCAAGCATGTGACAATACCTTTTGCTTTGGATCCTTCGACAACAACGCAGCTAGGCTCTCTTACTATTGCCAATTGATTCTTTGTTTTCTTTATACTAAAAAAGTCAGAAATAGAAGGGTGCTCTTTCATCTTGATGCTCCATTCTTCACCGTGTTTAGGATGTTTTGCAAGATATTGTATCAATTCAGGAATAGTTGCAGGCGAGATATTTTTGTATTTTACATATAGACAAAGTCGTTCAGCAGACATTGGAAATAGTCTAGTCTTATCATCCTTATAGACTTGACGAGCCCAAGCAGTATATTGTTCAATAGGTGTATTCATTTTTAAAAAAAAGAAAAAGAAAAGAGGGAACTAGTACTTTTTAATTATTTTCTGAGAATCAAGCAAATTATGTGACAAAAGATAGTCAATAATTGCTTCTACGCCTTGTTCAATAGTCATTTGATCAGTATGAATATGAATTTCTGGCTTCAGGGGTGCTTCATAGGGTGCAGAAATACCAGTGAATTCCTTAATTTCACCTGCCTTGGCCTTTTTGTAAAGCCCCTTGGGATCTCTAGATTCGACCACGTCAAGAGGTGCATCTGCAAAGACTTCAATAAATGGGATGCCTGCTGCTTCATGAAGAGCACGAGCTGCATCACGATCAGCACGGTATGGACTAATAAATGCTGTGATAGCAATAGTGGTTGCATCTGCAAATAGTTTGGCAACCTACCTATTTGTGTTAGTCTTTGTTTATTTTATTTATTTATTTACTTGCCTCAGAGATACGACGAATATTTTCAGTTCTATCTTCAGGTCCAAAGCCCAAATTTTTATTCAAGCCAAATCTTATATTATCGCCATCTAATCTATATGCGCTAATACCAGAATGAAGAAGAGTTTGTTCCAAGGCAGTGGCTAAAGTAGATTTACCAGAGGCAGATAATCCTGTAAACCAAATTGTATAACCCTATCATATCTATTTCAATGACAGCCCTTCTTTCTCTCTTTTGCTTTATTACCTTTTGCTTTAATAATTCTTGACGTTCTTGTAATGAAACGTGTCCTTGATGCCATGTAATATTGGTAGCCATATTGATTATAAATAACAAGAGAGAGAAAGAGAAAAGGTGACCAAAAGAGCGATAGTCTCTCCCTCTCTCTTTATATGGTAATCATTCGGAGATTGCATACTGTACCCTATTGGAAGTTCCTGGGATTGCGTTATCGAGTGTAGTCATCATTCATGGCCACAACGCACAAGATGTCATTTTTATTAATCAACTCAAAAGTGTCATTAAATAAAGAAGGAAGAGGGGAAGCACTGATAAACAGAGACATAAAAAAGGAATGTATTCCAAATAAGGTAATCTTTGCCTTTCTCACACATAAAAGCGTCATTCTCTTTTCTGCTTTTCTCTTTTTTTTTTCATATTTTTATTTATTTTTGTATGTCCAAAGCAAATTATAGTACAATCACAGTAGATCCAGAAGGAGCAAGTGAGCCAAGAGAAGAAGTATGTAAAATAAGAAGAAAAGGATCAAGTCTAACATATTGAAAACAGAATCGAAAAAGATTTCATATCATCGTAGGATCCATCATTCTTGCCTTTATTGCTTCAGTCATTATTGGATTCTTTATTTTATTGGGCAAAAATAATGCAGGTAAGATAAAGATTACATTATAAAAATCTTTAATTGTTGACTCTGAAGAAGACCCTCCACGTAACGTGATCATGATGATCAGTGATGGATTTGGACCTGCTTCTGAAACATATGCCCGTCAATACTCCACTTGGCTCAACAAACGCGATGTCAAGAGCATGTTACCCTTGGATGAAATTCATGTCGGTCATAGTCGTACTCAAAGTAGTTCTAGTCTAGTCACAGATAGTGCTGCAGGTGCTACTGCATTTGCATGTGCACACAAGTCATATAATGGCGCGATCGGCGTGTTTCCAGATAAAAAACCCTGCGCTACCGTCTTAGAATCAGCCAAGATTCATAAAGACATGCTGACTGGCCTCGTCGTCACGTCTCGCATCACTCACGCTACACCAGCTTCCTTCTCGGCTCATGTTGCCTGGCGTGATTGGGAAAATTTGATTGCAGAGCAGCAAATTGGACATACTCCTCTCGGCAGAACGGTTGATTTGATGTTTGGAGGTGGTATCTGTGAGTTTTTGAGTAATGCGACTGAAGGTAGCTGTCGTGCGGATGATCGTGACTTGTTTAAGGAAGCACAAGATACCTTTGGCTGGAACGTCAAGTATGGATCAAGAAAGCATTTAGATCACTTGAAGGAAGATGATGTTGAATTACCCATCATGGCTTTGTTTGCGCCTCATGTAAGTCATTCTAAAATATATAAATTATGTACTTATGAGACATGCATGAAAAATAGCACATGGATTATGAGATTGATAGAAAGCACGATGAACAGCCTGCACTTCATGAAATGGTAGCCAAAGCATTAGCTATTCTTGAAAAAAAGTCAAAGGAGCAAAACAGGGGATTCTTCCTGATGATCGAAGGTAGTCGTATTGACATGGCTGCTCACACAAATGATCCTGCTGCCCATGTTCATGATATTCTCGAATACCAACGTACGGTTCAGTTGGTCAAAGACTTTGTAGAGGAACACCCAAATACAGTCATGGTTTCAACTAGTGATCATGAAACAGGAGGATTTACTGCTGGAAGACAAGTGGGTGAAGATTATCCCGAGTACAAGTGGTAAGTATATCCATGAGCAACATGAACAGGTTGTCTTAAATTCTTATTAGGAATCCTGAGGTGATTCAACGTGTTCAAAATTCTTCTGAAGCATTAGCAAACGCCTGGGAATCATTTATAAAGACTGAATCAAATGTTCAGGTGATTGATCATTTCCTTCGACACGTTATTATCAAGGATGGTTTAGGCATTGATGACGCGACTGAAGAAGAAGTTGACAAGATCAAGGCCTGGGAAAAGAGTGGCAAAACGGCCGAACAGCTGGCCTATCTATTTGGCGACATGGTTTCTCGTCGTGCACTTATTGGCGTGAGTATATGATATGTATATAAAGTATTAAATAATAATTATTATTATTATAGTGGACTACTCATGGACATACGGCTGTTGACGTTAACTTGTATGCTAAAGGAGATGGTACTGAAGTGTTGCGAGGTAGTCATGAGAATACAGACATTGGTGACTTTATTATCGATTATCTTGGTTTGGACCTTGAACCACTCACGGATAAACTCAAGGACTTACCCGTTTCCGACGAGTTGCTTTCAATGCAAATGGAGAATAGAGTGACAAGCTATCATGGTTAATATGATTGGTTGAATAAATGCTTACTAACCCAAGACTGACGTTAATTGTGTAACATGTATGCTTACATTATCGCGGGGGTGTATATTTATACTTCATTCTATCAAGTTCTTTTTCTTTTCTTTATTTTATTTAAAAAAGATGCTTTCCACCGCTGCTCGTACGATCAAGACAAACACCCTTAAGCGTGCCGTCAGTCCTTTGACGACTTCTATTCGTACTAAGGTGACATTGCCTTCTCTTCCTTATGCATACAATGTGAGTAAAAAATAAAAATAAACAGCAACATAGCCTTGACGCGTGCTCGCGTTTTTTTCTTCATCCTCTTTAGGCACTTGAACCCTACATTAGTGAAGAAATCATGACCCTTCATCACACTAAGCATCATCAAACTTATGTCAATGCGTTCAACCAAGCCGAAGAAAAGCTTCAAACCGCTTTCCAGGCTAACGATTTGACCCAACAACTCGCTCTTCAAAATGCCCTCAAGTTCAATGGTGGTGGACATATCAACCATTCCTTGTTCTGGAAGAACTTGGCTCCCAAGGACCAAGGTGGTGGTAAACTTCCCAAGGGTGCCTTGTCTTCCGCTATCGAAAAGGAATTTGGCTCCTTTGATAACTTTATCAAGGAATTCAATGCTGCTGCTGCTGGTGTTCAAGGTATTGTTGATTAAAGTAAAAACAAGAATGGTACTGATTTTTTTGTTTATAGGTTCTGGATGGGCTTGGTTAGGTTATAACAAGGCTGCTAACCGCCTTGAACTTGCTACAACTCCCAACCAAGATCCTTTGCTCCGTAAGTATGAATGTGACAAGATGAAATATGACTAATAACATCTCTCTTTAGACTTGGTTCCTCTTTTGGGCATTGACGTTTGGGAACATGTAAGATGATAAAATGATTTCTTTTATAACAATAATAATTTATTTGCTCCAATAGGCCTACTATTTACAATACAAGAATGTTCGTCCCGACTACCTTAAGGCTGTCTGGGAAGTCGTCAACTGGGAAACTGTTGCTGAACGTTTTGCAAAGGCTAAATAAACATTAACATGCACATTTATTGATATCTTCATCTACTGTCGTTTCATTATCTAATCGAATTGGATCACTTAATTCACCATAAAGCTGCACACTCGTCTCTTGTTGAAGTGCATTCCTTGCGATCGTCTGAAAAGCTTGTTCGATGTTGATAGCCTCCTTGGCTGAGGTTTCAAAGTACCTATATAACTGTATATGAATATATATATGTTGTGAATTGAAGCTGAGGTATTTACGGTATATTGCCCTTCGCCTGACAAAACGTCATGGCTCTCTTTTGAGATACCATCCTCTTTGACTCATCCATATCAATCTTGTTTCCCAACACCACAAACGGGAAATGCTCAGGATCTCGAGGTGACGCTTGAACAAGGAATTCGTCGTGCCACTGACCTAATGATTCATATGATTTGTTATTATTGACATCATATACCAAGACACAACAGTCAGCTCCCCGATAGAATGCGACACCCAACGACTGGAATCGCTCTTGGCCTGCGGTATCCCATATCTGCATAGTAACGACCGTATCATCATCTATAGTTATTTCTTTTGTCAGAAAGTCAGCTCCAATTGTTGCCTTGTAGTGAGAACTAAACTTCTTATTGACATATTGGTTCATCAAGGAAGTCTTTCCTACTCTGGTTGTAATGTTGGTTCATTGCTCATCTGCTGTAAGTATACTTTATTACCCGCTGTCTCCCAAGATAATCACCTAAAATATATGATGAACAAATAGGGAACAAGATACTTGTTTATATTTATACCTTTAGTAATACTTTTCGCTTTGTCATGGTTACCAAAATAAAAGAAATAAAAGGAAAAAAAAAAAAAAAAAAAAAAAAAAAGAACCTCCTCTCTTGCGCTAATTCAAAAAAAAAATTCATCAGTTATTGACAATAGTGCTTGACTGAATTATTATGCACTTGTTTTCTAATAGATAAAATAACGGTATGTGACAATGGGGTATTTTATTTTATTTTACATAATGTGACATTGAGCTGATCCCCTTTGTTTATTCTCCAACTTTTTAAACTTTACTACATGTTCCATCATCTTTAACCGATCCTTGGCTTCCTTATGATCATGTTTACTTGCTTTGGAGTAGTAATGATGGGCCTTTTTATAATCTCTTGGTACACCAATGCCAACCTCATAATACCATCCCAAGAGGTAATATGCTTCTGGCAGATGATGTTCGACGGCTGCTAGACGGCACCATCGAAACGCTGCATCCTCATCTCGTGCATGTGTCTTGATCCATTGTGACTCGTCATGTTCAAAGAGATATCTTTGCTCCTCTACTTGCTCTTGAGGTACTTGGACCCCTTGATTGTACAGTCGACTGAGGGCAATCATGGCCAGTGAATGGTTCTGTTGTGCTGCCATTTCATAGTAATGAAAAGCCTTTGTGAGATCAATGCGTTGATTGTATCGGCCTTGTTCAAACAAGGTGCCTAATTTATATTGTGCTGATGATAAACCAATCTCCGCTGCATGATCTAGATAACTCATGGCACCAAAGCTACCCCCATAGCTTTGGATGATTTCACTATGATATACGAGTTAATTTCCTCCTTAGAAAAAAAAAGGGGGATACGAGCTTACTTGGGTATACTGACAGAAGGATAATCATTAAGTAATAGTAATCCTAGGGTATAAGGAGCTTCAGGACACGCTGTTCCTGTTGACTTTTCACATGCTTTTATCAATAGCTGAATGGCTGCCATCACGTTCTGTCTAGATCCAAACTCACCGTTCAGATGAATCATAGCAATGCGCTAATAAATATGTGAATTTATATCTAACATTTACACAAAGTTACTTACATAGAGTGCTTCCACTAAACCTAGACCGGCTGCATCTTCATATAACTGGAAAGAGGTCATGTAATCTTGCTCTTTCTCGTAGTACTGTGCAACAGCAAACATGGCCTCAGGCACACGTTCTTTTGCAGCCACCTCGTAGTACTTTAGAGCCTTGGTTGGACTCTTTTTGAACCCATAGAGTCCTTGATCAAGCCAAGAGGCTAGAAGATAGGCTGCTTCTCCTACGCGCTGATTGGCCAACTTCTTGATCCACCTTACACCTTCCTCCCGTAACATCTTTTGCTTTCGAATTTGTGCATCATCCAAATCTTCTTCAACAAAAGCTGTCTGTTGTGCATTTGGATTATCAATGCTACTACGTCGACTGTCCATACTCGTCCTATAGCTCATACGGCTGACAGGTCTCAAGAACACATTCGAAGGCTTGGGTTGTGATGATGTGGACGGTTTATCGTATAGACCGGCAATTTCAAGGAGGTATTTTGCATAGGTTAACTGTACGATCGGGTCCTTCGTTTTAAGAGCCATGCTTCGATACAATTTGATCGCATCCGGGTGATTTGTTAGACTATAGGAAGCCTTGGCATATTTAGATTGGTAAGAGAATGCGTTTGACGGTGTTTGTGAGGGTGTGAAGGATGCGATCGAGGGTGCTCGTTCATGGTATTCTGCAATGGCGTTATTATTCCGCGGCTGAAGATAGCTCGATGTCAGACCTGGATCATGCTGCGGTAGTTCTGGAGGATGTGGCGATTCTTCTTCCTTATGCTGTTCTTGTCTTGGCGAAGACTCTTCGCTTGATATCATCATGTCATCCATCAGTGGTGGAAGTGTCTTGAGCGGTGGCAGTAGTTCAAATGGTTGTGGTGAATGTTGTTCTACCAGTGTCTTGCTCATTCTCCTGCATACTGGCTGAAGCTCAGGTGTACTTGGTAAATCGTTGACGAGGTCTGGTTGATATGGTTGAATCGTCTCTTCATCGAAATCGGGGTTAATAACTCTTAAAGTGCGTGGCGGTGATGATTCATGAAGAGATGTGTCAGAAAGTTGATCGTCAGAGTCCATTTTTTAAATAATAAAAAAAAAAGAAAAAAAAGAGAAAGAGAAGGAAAAAATGGAAAAGAAAGCTAAAAATAAATGACCCCTCCCCCTTCTTTCTCTGTGTCCTTTTTAGTAACTCTTCACACTTTTTTTTCTACCCCTTCTCAGTTTCAATACTCTTTATGGGAAGAATGAAGTGACGTGAATAGGTTCAATCTTTATAAAAATAGACTATTCTCCATGCATTCTTATTTAAATACACAGAAGCGCATTTATAAATATGCAATTTTATTTGTTGTTGCTCGTGATTTTTTCGTTGGAAATTGAACTAGATTTATTCTCATTTAGGAACAAGGCACTCCACAGTAGACAACATTCATGTGTAAAAAAAAATAGTTGGTATATCACGTGAACACACTGAAATCTTTTTTTAGAAATGATTGACCTAGTGTTGATGACCAAAAGAAAGAATCAATTTTAAAGCAATAAGTCTACAGTTTTTTTTTATTAATAAGTCTGCTTTTTCTTTTGCTTTTGAGTCTTTTTCTTTTTTGATGACTCTGATTTAAGTGCTGTTGGTGGTGGCGGTGGAAGGGTTTCGACCACCTGTGCGATATGCTTTTCAATATCTCTCTTCTTCATAGTCTTGTTTTTCTTAAAGTATTTCTTTTCTACCTGTTTCTTATATTCTGGACGGTATCTATTATCAAGCAAAGTTAGATATGCGTTATGATCGTAGCAATTATCACTTACGGAGCCAGTTGTTTGATGCCAACATATTTATTTAGTTCAGTATCGTCAGCCAGTAGGATTTCTTCAGGCGTCAATCCATAATCTTCAGGCTCAGTCTTTGTGTATTTGAATCGAGTATAAACATCACCGCCTATCACATCTTCATAATTAAGGGAATAATATTCGTCCATGAGCTTTTCAATTTGTTCTCTTTTAGCCTTCTTTGATTCACTATCTTCGTTATCTTCACTTTCAAGCTTTCTCTTTTTATCATTGCCTGTATACTTTTCACCACCAGGAAGATAGTCTGCATCCATAATGAAATTATCATTGTCATCATCAGGTAAGCCGGTATCAATATCATCGTTCCAAGTTGGTTTTTCATTCACATTTTCTCCTTCTGCATAGTAATCCTCATTGAACACGTTATTCATTTGTTCATCAAATTTTTCAGGATCGAAATCTGCGTCCAAGTCTATATTTTCTAATCCTAATGCCTTTGAACCCGAAATTTCATAAATTTCCTTTAATTTGTCCTTAATCTCCTTCATCTTTTTATTCTTTTGTTGCTTCAAGTCCTCAATCTTTTGCTGCTTCAGTGCTTCCTTCTTGGCCTTTTCTCTTGCTCTTCTCTTTGCTCTCTTACTTTCCTTTCTACGCACTGTTCCATCAATGTCTCGAGCATAGGACTGGATAGTAGATGCACCCTCTTCTTCAAATCTAAAGTTGTATTTACTTTCAAATCGATCAATATCATCCAACTCTGCTTCATCCTTCTCCACTTCCTCTTCATTGATTTCAACATGTGGATTTTCCTTTTCAACCCACCCACGGTTTAAGACATAGTCCATCAGGAAAGCATCTTCTTCACTGATATTTGGGTTATTCTTATAATTAGTCCATTCTTTAAATGCTTCCTTGGTTGTATCATCATTCTTCATTTGCTCCAACAAGAACTTTTTATATTCAGATTCTTCTTGTTCTTTCTCCTCTTTTGTCTTTTCTTTCTTGATCAAAAAATCATCATCTTCGTCTTCCTCATTTTCAGCTACACTTTTGAACGCATTACGCAGCTCTTCCTGTTCTTGATTGTGTGTGAGCTCTTCTTGGCCATAATTTTCTCTATCCTCGTCCTCAACATGACCACCGTGGCTGAGCAGCATCTCACGTTCATAATCTTTCAGGGTCATTGGCTTCTCTCCTTTTTTGGTCTCCTTTGTCTCCGGCTTGATATCTTTGAAGAAATCCGTCTTGTCGTACACGCGCGGATCTTTGGCGCGAATGGCAGCAATGGTTCGAAAGATCTGTGAGTCAACAGCAGGTGTCAGTTGTTTAGCATCATCGTCTTCTTCTTCATCTGAATCTGATTCGTATTCACTGCTACTGCTGCTGTCAGCTTGTTCTTTTTCAGCCTTGGCAGCTACTTCAGCTTCAATTTCTGCAATAGCTTGTTTTACTATTTACAAGATTAGATCAATTGATCAGTTTTGAAGAGAAAAGAGTATTTACATAATTCAGGTCTTTGATAATCTTGATTAGGATCTTCTCTTTCTCTAATTTGAATTTGGAATTCCTCAGTGTTGTCGCTAGAAGAAGCACTACTATCACTGCTATCGGTGCTATAGCTACTGCTGGTACTTGATACACTGTCTCTACGATCTTTCTTCATTATTTTATTTTATAAAAAAAAAAAAAGAATTAAATCTTTCATTTTAAGCCACTCTCAGCAGTTACAAGCAAGTAGAAAGCTGACTTCATACACACAACTGCTGTGTTCTATTTTTTATTTTTTATCTTTGTTTCTTTTCACTTTCTAAATCATGACGCATTCCCCACTTCGTCCACAAGTCATTTCACTTTACAAGCAAGTAAAAACTTTCTTATATTAAAAAGAGGGGCAAACGAATTTATAAACCATAGCTTGTTTACTTGGGAAGGGAATATCCAGCTGGGTGGGATTTTTTTCGACCCAAACTAAAAGCGGCCTTTTTAAAGAATAAAGACTTGACAGATACTCAAGAGATTGAAAAACGAATCAAGCATGGAGAATATATTATCAAAGGTAACCATGACAGCCTTTGACGATATTGACCCTGACAACAGAATATAGAGTTGGAAATGATGTATTATTTAAGAAAATATCGCACCTTAAGAAAAAGGTACAACGAACCATGTGCATGAAACCCTTTTAAATGCAAGTTATAAAACTTGTAACACAAGAAATAAAATGTCTTTTTCTTCTTTTCTTTTTCTCTTTCTTTCTTTCTACATATAAAATGATGCCAAACTCTCGCTTAATACCAGTCTTACCTCAGCCTCAATCTAATCAACGTAAACGATCTAATTCGGCTAGCATCTATTCAACACATAAAAAGGGGTTTATATCTCGCCTTTTATCGCCACCTCACAATAATATGATAGAACTAGATGATAAGGTTTTTTATTACTTGCTTCTATAAATACCATCTACTCATGATTATAAAGACAGGCCATCATAAGAAAAGCATTGGAAAGCTATTTAAAAAAATAAGTGGGAATAAGGTGACATTTTAATAAAATTATGAATGTATGACAAATATCTCTAATAAAACTAACAGTCAGATCCAGAAGAGCAAGGCGACCAAGAGAACCTACCTCAAGTGAGGCCAATTCGACCCTCGATTCGACAGCACTCCAAGATACCCTTGGCTCCTCCACCCACCATGCGCCATCGTACTTTATCTCAGCCGATCTCACAACAGTTCCTATCTGACCTACCAGAACAATACATCACCAAGCGACCATCAATTTCACAAAGCCAGTCTCATGAAGTCATCAGAAAATCATCCGGCTCCTTCTCTATCTATTCTACCTTTGGTCGAGACTCGTTTGATTCGGTAGATCATGTCAGTTCAGAAAGCCTTGATTCCTACAACACCGTACAGGACCACCAGGAAGATACGGAAGAAGAAGATACATTTGTGGACGCCCATGGGTTCTCAGAGGAAGATCTGGCCATACTCGAAAAGAAGTTACAGGACACGCATCTGGCCAAACGACTGAGCGGCGGCCACTATGGTAGTGCAGGTGGACTGGTTGTCAGCATTCAACCCAAGCAGATTGAGAATGACGACGAGTTGGCCAAGAGTATGCTCAACTGGAAACGACATAGCGACAGCAGTAAACGATGGAGCCACATTTTACGAACCCAACATACAGAAGAAGAATTGCCTCAGACAGTCAACGATAAACATGCGAGCACAGTGACCATGATTGATCTGCGAGCGACCTCCGAAAGACAAGAAGAGGAGCTGTCGATGCCCGATAAACTCGCCCTGCGTGAGGAAGCCGAGAAGACACTCAACGGTCAATCCAAGCAAGAGACCCTATTCACGAGTGACGTCTGGACAAGTACAAGCAGTATCTCCCTATTGGACGACCCTCGAGAAAAAAACAAGAAAAAAGAAGAGGGCCAGGATGAAGAAAAGGCCAGGGAGACGGCACAGATGCTCTGGAATGAAGATGAGTCGGTGGTTACGAAAGAAAAGATGGCAGAATGGCTAGGTCAGAACAAACCATTTCACTCAACTGTCCTTCGGCATTACATGGATTACTTTAACTTTGCAGACATGAGATTAGATGCTGCATTCAGAAAGCTTTGCAGTAAACTTTATTTCAAAGCAGAGGCACAGCAGATTGATAGGATTCTAGAAGTATTTGCAAATCGCTATTGGGAATGTAATACAGGATGTTTATTTGGGAGTGCAGGTAAAAGAAAAAAAAAAGCAAAAGGGGATTTTGTTCTTATTATCCTTTTATAGACGTTGTTTATGCCGTCGTATATTCTCTATTATTGTTGAATACCGATCTGCATGTGGCCCAGGGGAAACATGTGAGAATGACAAGAGCAGAGTTTATTCGAAACACAATGTCCACTATTTTGGATCAAAAGGAACATGAGGAGAGTTTGGGCAACAGATGGACATCAATGGATGGCAAGACATGGGAAATGGAGATTGAAAACTATTTGAGGGTAAGATTGAACAAATTAAGCTTATCAGAAAAAGGCAAATGTAAACCCCCTTGTGTCCATAACAGGAAATGTATTCATCCGTCAAGCAGTATCAAATACTTCAGCCGTTGACAAGAAAGACAAGTCTAGTGAAACGAAGCAGTATTCTAGGAGGTCGTCGGGTTGTAGGACTCAAACGAAGTGTGAACTCGATCATTCGTAAATCGGGTATTACTGATAGTATGATGTTACCAGACGATTTCCAACCAACCTCGCCTGTGGTAAGATTTATCGTGATCTTTTTGTGTTCCATACTTACCACCCCTTGATAAAGCAACAACAACAGCCAAGGACAAGTATGAGCTCGGGTCACGCTCAGTCTTCTCGCCGAGAATCATTTTCATCCATCAATTCGAGCACCACATCATTCTCCTCACGGTGTGGATCACCCATCAATAACATGAGTTCTAACAGTTATCAGCCCATGATCCAGTATATGGATACACATGCATCTGCCCTTTTCTCAAGCCGACCTCCTTACTACAAGGAAGGTGTTGTCATGCGGAAGCATTTGCTGGAGAATGCGACACAAAAGGCTAAACATCGAGAGTGGAAAGAGTGTTACCTAGAAGTAGATAAGCATGGTGAACTGTGCATGTATCAATTGCAGCAACAACAAACGCAGGAATCGTTTGATAAGAGTTTCTTTAGACATTCAAGCGCAGCACATTTTAGTTTGTCTGATACCCTGAAGCCTACTGTACCACAAAATCCCGCATCCTTTTGCGCAGGAGGAAACAATACCAGATGGGCAGTAAAGTATATTATGGAAAAAATAGGAAAAGAAAAATTCATATTGAATATATATTTTATTTAGACACATTCCCAGTTACTTGGTAAAATAAAGCTAAACCACACACTAGCAAACGCACTACCGCCCCCAGGATACAACCGGCAGCGGCCTCATGTGTTTGCAATACAACAAGCCGATGGAGGTGTTTATTTATTTCAAGCAGCCTCGGCTGAACAAACGCAAGAATGGGTATTAACCTGTAACTATTGGGCGGCGAGGACAAGTAAGGAACCATTGCCAGGAGGCATCAGCAACATGGAATATGGATGGGGCCACTGTCTTGATGACGTTGTCATGGATTTGGACGCTTATCATAGTGATAGACAAGCCAATAACTTTTATATCCATGATCCAGACTCGGTTACGATCCATGACTGGATTCCGCCCACGGCAACTATGGTGTCAAGTCAGTTAGATGAAAAAGAACAATACAAGGTGCTACAAAAACACTTGGCTGAATTGGATAATGAAATAAATGAACACCGAGATAGAAAAGCCAAAATATTGATTAAGGTAAGATGCAACTCAACACAATGCATAATGCAGGTTCACATTTTCTTCTCTAGTTTCCTAGCAAATGCAGTAATTACAGTAAAGTGATGTCCAACTGGGAAGCAAGGGCTAAATATCTCTTGCATGAAATTATTAAATATCAAAACTATTGTGATGCGCTAGAAAAAAGCATAGAACAGCTTGGAGAAAATCAGCTCATGTATCAAACGCCACAGGTTGATTTGGTGAAAGAAATCAATCAAGAATTACATTTTAATATATAATAAAGCTTTTTTTATTGAACAAAGAGCCTGGTACTATTTAGGGACGTCGTGTAACTATGGTTACTTGTTTGATGACCCCAATCTATCTGGAAGAATCTTTAATAATCCCAGGTGACACGCAACAATAGAGAAGCACAATTCATTCTCCGTTTACCGAGCCACTCCCTGTGAAACTTTGAATCGAATGATAATCAGTTCGACGAAACAAAATCTTTTTTACATGGAGCTTTGATCAAATCAAGTCACTTTATGGATCTTGCTTTTTGTATAACAAAACGAAAACGCGGAAACATGACCTTTTCGCAGTTTTAAAAGGAATGTCGTTCAAAAACCTTTCTCTGGTTTCATTTTTATAGTTATGAACCCTGTGATTACAAAACAGCAGACAATATGCGCTGCTTTGTGCAATTGAAGTCATTCAACACCATCGGGCTGTTCAGTCTTTATCACAATGGAATAATGCATTAGCCAAATGGTAAACAATCAGCCATAACTTTCTTTAAACTCTCATATCTTATATTCACTTGTTTTATTAATTCGTATGAAGGGTTCACCTAATGAAAGCGCTGATGTTGTCGATATTTACTTGTTAGGATAAACGAATTGAATTGGCAAGAACACAAAGATGCATCCATGGGCGTTGATTACCTCGTGGTATCCCTTATATTCAATCCTTCAAATCCCTTCATTAAATACCTCAGTATATCACCACATACATGTTGTAGTATCCTTTATTTCGATCCTTTTGTATGCAAAAGTAGGATCATTGAATAGTTCAAAAGGAGCAAATACTCTGTTCAAAAACTCTTGTCTTTGCTAATGGCTAAAGAGAACTCTTTATAAAATACTGTGCTTTATTAGATTGTAAATGGAGTGGACAGAATACAATGAAACTGTGTGTATATAATTTTATTCAAAATAAAATGAAACGATTCTACACATGATCTATATTTGGATGTTCAGAAATATTTTAAGATTGATAACATTTGATTGTCGTATACCATACTAATATTTAACCATCATAGAACAATGATCTCGATCCTAAACACACAGTATAACTCGGATGCTTCGCAGTAACAGATTCATTCAAAGGAAAAGTGACACGGTTTCTTTTAGGATCAAGTGACATTATCTTTGAACAAAAAAAAATGATTGAACAACATCAAACTTAAAACTACGACTTTACTTTTTGGAATGACCGTAAAGTAAATTTATTTTTATTGCAAGCGGGCAAAATAATTATGATTTAATATCCATGGTTACTCAAAGTTTTATTTTTTTTTTTGCTTCCCTCTCCTTGTTTTTGAAACAGTGAAGCATCAAGTGCTTCAATAAAAGTTAAAAAAAAAAAGCTAAAAAATAAAAAGAGAAGCATTTCTGTCAATGGCCGTGCTTCCAGAAAGGAAGAAAGAGAGGGAATAGATATGAATTGTAACACCTGTCATTGTTTTAAGCCTAGACACATTTTATGTAGTGTGACATTATGCAAAGGGAAAAAAGAATAACAATAATAAAATGTTGAGTTACCCTGTCCTTAGTCAAGCCCCCCTGTATTCAGAATAGTAAATATAAATAAATAAACTCTCTTTTTTTATTAGGCGTGTGTGGTATAGTCAAACATGTTCAGAAGGGAAGATAAAAACAAAACAAATCCCTTTCCTTCCCCTTTGACAAAAACAAGGAAAATCTTTTTCCTTTGATTGAAATGATAACAAAAAAAAAAAAAAAAAACGAAAAAAGGGTATTGAAAAATAAAAGAAAAACAAAAGATGCTGTTGTTGTTGTATGTATATGTTGCTATGTACTACTTCTTGGTTCAATTATTTAGATTTACGCTTCACTTTCCTTTGCTCGTCATGCATGTTAAGTGGCGTATCTTTTATGGGTCTTTTTGTAGGAGAAGAAGGAGCGGTTGCACGACGAGGACAATAGCGGTACTCTGGAAATGCTTCACGATGAGCTAATTTTTCCTGTTCTGCGAGCCCATGCCACGGCTTTTTTTCATTCTCGGATAACTTGCTCCATCGACGTGACGCACGTCTATTTTAGTTAAGGTTAGAAAAAAAAATGCGAATCTTCCTTTTTAAATATTTACTTGGATATTTCCTCAGCACGTAAAGTAGGGTCCTGGATCTTGAGTGCTTGTCCATAATGACATCGGAACTACATAAATAGATGAGTAAATAAACCTTTACAATTTTAAAGTTCTTACATGAATCCAAGCGTTACGCGGTCTTTTGATATGGGCATTTTTTGTTAGAAACATGCTTTGATCGACATTGTTTCGAGCAGATTTATACATGACATGATCACCGTTTGAATAGCAATCTGTGAAGGCTAAAGCAATGTCTGTTTCTAGTTCTTCTATATGTTTCGTATCTTGCTTTGAATCAGGCTGAATGGCTTTTAATAGACTAGCAGCCACTTGAGATCCAGGGTGTCGTTGGGCTGCTGCTGCTGCTGCTGAAGCAGAGGCGGCAGCCATCGTAGGTGACATGGGCGAGGACTGGATAGCTTTGAAGAAGGGATCATAGCGTGGAGGAGAAGATCGACGTTGTGGGATGGGTATCTGAATGTTACTGGGTATAAGAAATGAGTATGGACGTTGCAAAGGTTCAAAAAGACGAACAGGAAATATTTGGGTATTATGCTGGACAGAAGGAACAGCAGGCTCAAGAGGCACAGGTCGCTCTTGTTCTTCCACAATGAATCTCTTTATCTTTGGTGACTCGGGGGATGGTGGTCTGTTGTCTAGAAGAGGTTTAATATTTTTATTTTAGGCAATTTTAGCTGTCCTTACCACACAAATCTATAATTGGAGCTAATTCAACCATGGGAGAAGTTGAAGAAAGTGGAGGAGTAGGGACAGGAAACCTTGTAAGATTTTCATTTTTTGATGTTTCCAAATCACACATCATTGGCGGAGGTTTAATGGATAATTTGGTTGGATTGGCAACGACAGTAATAGGAAATGAATGTGGCATGAGGAAGGGGATATCTAAATAAAAAAATTGGTGGTCGTAAAAAAAGGGGGAATATGGTATAAATATATATATATGAAGATATATATTATAATGCAAATATATATTTATATGAGAGTTTTTTTGTTGTTGAAATGGGGTATGGATAAGATATATATATGGAATATATATATATATAAAGAATATGTATAAAGAAGAAAATAAAAAGAGAATAAAGAAAAAGAAATAAAAGGGGGGAAAGAAAGAGAGAGAACAAACAGAGTTTATATACTTTATTCATAAAGGCTCATCAATCATTTTTTGGACTGGGCTCAACTGACTTTTAAAAAAATAGAACACTTTTTTCTTGTACAATGAACAAACTGTGTCAACACAAAAGTAAAACATGAGTTGCCATAGTAATACGTTACTATGGTAAAAAAAACGATCTGAACAAAGAAGAAAACAACATTACGTAATAATGAAATTTCAATTCTTTAGTCACCTTTTGCTTCACTCTTTCCTTCTTTCTTATTGTTTCAGGATGTCAATCATTTTAATATAAAAAAGGATCAAAAAAAATCTCTATTCTTTTTTACTCGTGCTACCATTTATGATTGTGTGTATTCAAAACATGGTTTAAAATTAGATTTCCGAACCCTTACAAAAAAAAGAAAAGAACAAAGACGGTTTTCGCTTTCCCCTCTTCCCCTTGATACGATCTCCTTGACTTATAAAAATAAAAAGCTTATTCTTTTTCATTTCCGAGGGTAAAAGTAAAAAGAAGAGTAGCAACCATCAAAAGACGTCATTTTTCGGGGCCAATAAAATTGCTATTTTTACATAATTATTATTATTATCACTTCGGCATCTCTCCGACTGGTCTCCCTTTTTTTTTTTGTTAAACTTATGCTAGAAAAACGTGTTTGGATATTCAAAGATAAAAAAGACAACAATGATGAATATGACACGCTATTGATTAAAAATAATTATTCACCTGAGTTTATACCCCTACTTGATTACACATGTCAAAATGTCGACATGCTCAAGTCCATCTTAATTACTGGTCCACATGCCCTCAACCTCTCTGGTCTCATCTTGACTTCACAAAAGTCAGTTCATACTCTTACAAAAGCCTATACACCTTTAAAAGAAGAAATACGTCAGCAGTGGCATGAACTACCTGTATTCATCGTAGGACCACAAACAGAACAATTATTGGCCCAATCCCCTTTATACAGCCACTGTCACACGAATCACTGGATAGAAGCACCCCGAGCTCTTGAACTAATCAAGCCAATCATAGATCATTATAATAAAAAGGGCCAACTATTATTCTTAGCGGGCGACAAACGACGTGATGTGATACCCCAAGCATTGACAGAGGCCAAGATACCCTTTCGTGAAGTACAGACCTATGCAACCTGTCCTCATCCTGATCTGCCTGCCAGACTGCAGCAATTGGAACAGGCTGAAGCAGAATGGGCGGTGTTCTTTAGTCCCTCGGGGTTAAAGTTTATTCAATCCGCTTTACCTACCTCCAAACTTCTCCAACCAGGTCAAATCAAGATTGCTGCCATTGGCCCCACCACAGCGGATTACGCCCATGCCCTTGGCCTGACCGTTCATGCCGTGGCCGAAAAACCCGACGCAAAGCACCTGGTCGATGCCGTGGTTAAATCTGACATGACGGGAAAATGCCAAAAATAGATAATTTATCCTCTTACGAAATAGAATAATAATAAAAAAAAAAAAAAGCTTGGCATACAGAATATAGAAAATACTGTGCTATCCATTCTACTTGCAATTATCCATTGAGCCCCATATTTTAGGATAAGCAAAGATCTTTGAATAAAGTACTATATCTGATGATGTTTTTGTTGTATTGGGGCGTGCCATTGCAAGCATCTGAAATGCGTGAATAGAATGTGAAATGATCATGAGTATATAAAGACATACTAAATCCTTTACTCAGATAAATGTATTTATAGAAACATGGAAAAAAGATATCCATTGTGTTTGTATTATATAAACACCATCCCTTTTCTTATTTCTTTCTCTCTTTTCATTCAAAACATGAAGCTCGCCATCCTTAGTGCCGCCTTACTTACTGCAGTTACCGCTGCACCTTCCCCTACCAAGACGACAGGAGCTTATATACCTCAAAAGTCGCCTTCCTTTTCAAATGTGCCTTCTCCTACAGGCATTGTCACAGCTTACAACTATGGTCCTTACAATACCTCTGATGCCTTGCCTACCACAACCTTGTCTGGCTATCCTTCGCCCTGGGAAGTACCTGACACAAAGAGCGATGAAGTCCAGGCAGCCATTAAGCAAATCGATTGGAGTCTTGTCCCTGACGCCCCTGTTCGAAAGCAAGATGACAATGGTGATTTCAAGCCTGATACGGATGGTGATGATGATCCCTACTGCTGGTGGTCAGATACAAACTGTGTCAAGCCCAAGATTAATCTGCCCGAAGATTATTACATTTGTCCTAACAAGGGTGATTGGGGTCTATCCTATGATGATGGACCTTTTAACCTGTACACTGGCAAAGAAGCTGCCATTCAGAACAAGTACGCTGAACCTGCTCTCTACAATTACCTAGTTGAGCATAATAATCAAAAGGCTAGCTTGTTTGTAAGTGACACGGGGTTATTTTTTTGAGTATTCAATTAATCATTTTATTAGTATATTGGCTCCAATGTCGCTACTTATCCTGAGGCTGCTAAGCGTGCATTCAATGATGGCCACTACATTTGCGTCCATACATGGTCTCATCCTGCTATGACCACCATGACGAACGAAGAAGCTGTGGCTGAATTTTACTGGACTCTCAAGGCCATTAAAGAAACTACGGGTGTCACACCAAAGTGCTGGAGACCTCCTCAAGGTGACGTTGATGACCGTATTCGTTCCATTGCTTGGCAGATGGGTATGCACACAGTCCTCTGGGACTGGGATACGAATGACTGGGACATGCCTGCGCCCGGTGGCGGTAACTTGGCTCCTTCCAAGGTCGATGGTTACTTTAAAGGCTGGATCGAAGACGAACAATCAGGTAATCAAACTCATGGTCACATCGTCCTCGAGCATGAACTCAATAATGCCACGGTCAACATGACCATGTTCTGGTTGCCCAAGATTCAAAAGGTGTTTAATGTTGTGCCTGCTCTTGCCTGTAACAATGTCACTCAGCCTTATTGGGAACAACAATACGTTTACCCTCTTCAAACATTGCCTATTGGTGGCTCAAACAGCTCTAGTTCTGCTACGGAAACAACAATCGTTCTTTCCTCTGCTCTGCCTCGTGCTACTTAGTGATTTATTAAAATATAAATTAGAGTTTTATTTTGTTTCCTTTTTAATAAACTGAACAGGACCTGTTGGTGGTTTAGAATAACCATTTTCACCAGCAATCAGAATATCGCCTGCTGGACGCATTTCATAATGTCTAATAAAGTAAGAAACAATGCCCTTTATCTGCTGGGTTGCAAACCATCTTCCTGGACAAGCACGCCTATAACAAGATAAATAAGAATTAATTTATACCTACTTATCTAAACCACTTACTTTCCAAGACCAAAAGAGACAAAATCATGTCCTGTCTTTGTTGTTTGCTTATCCTGGCCAACGAATCTGAATCCCAAGAACTGATCGACATTATCCATGTGACCTTGGTTTGCTTCATCAAAGTGAACATGCCATATATTGATATAAACATCCTCTCCTTTGAAAAAGAGTTAGAAAAGAAGAAACACCTTACATGTTCTTTTGCTTATTCCTACCTGGTCTAACAATCGCCCCTGATCGAAGGACAACATCCTTATCTGTAACATTTTTATGAGGCAATATAATACCCGTAGCACGAGTACGCATAGACTCACGAATAAAGCTGTCGAGCTTTGGCATCTGTCGATAAGCACTTGGCACAAAATCTATTGGATCGCCGGTCTCTGAAACCTGCTTTTGCTCTTCAAGTAACTCTGGGATATATTCAGGATGCGCTACAAGCTGGTACATCACGGTTGCTGCAGCCATTGAAGTGGTATGAACGCCAACAAAGATAAAGATGAGGATGATAGTTGTCAAAGACTCGAGATATGCAGCATCTATTTCTTCTTGAGGATGTGTTTCAAGTATGTAGCCAAGGATACCACTTGGTTCCTAATTTCCATCATTTAGTATCCTTTTTAAATTTATTTTTTATGCGTGCGCACCTTTTGTTCTGGTGATGCTCTTCTTCTTTCAATGTCTGCTGCTAATGCGTTTTTGATAAGCATTCTGTGTTTATCTATAGCTGCTGTCTTTGGATACAGGAACCTAAAAGAAACAAAATAAAGTTAAATTCTGTTTGAGCTGGAAACGAGCTCAACTTTACTTCAAGTATAATTTGTTGAAGGATGGAAACAGCACACGGAATAAGCCAGGCGTCATTTCTTTACCAATCTCTGATACCGAATTCTCAAATGCATTCATCAGATTCTCGTCTGCACACAGCTCTTTACCTACAAATGCAGATGCGCTATAGCGAGCTACAAAACTTCTCAAGAGGGGAAGTAGATCAGGCACGACAACTATGTTCAAAATGAGTAAAGACAAGCAATCCTCTAGTCTTGACTTTCCCTTTACCTTCCGGTTCATTCAGTACGTGCTTAGCATGCTTTATGATCTAATGGAAAGCAAATGTTTAGAAAAAGTTTACTTTGACACTTTAGCGAATTCTACCATTTCAAAGCCTTGTGGACAGTAGTTGTCTAGATGTGGTGTCAGATGCTTCACAATGGATTGTTTTACTATATCCGGGGTCAAGACATATCTAGAATTTGCATGGGCTGTAGTTTGGCCCAGAAACTAGAATTATTTTTAAGTTTTTTCTCCTTTTAATCCCTTCTTAGGGAGTAAATTTTACCTCTGCTTGCCCAGCAAGAAAACTTAGGCTTGGATGTGTGAAGACTTCTGGAGCATCGTCTGCACCGACAACAGTAACCCATTGACCATGAAGATGCATCTTAAAAGCAGACCCATACTTTTTAGACCACTTCTTGGTGAATTCAAGCGTATTCTTGTAATAGTCAATCGTGGAGCCAACGAATGGTAGCTTGTATGGAACTCTAGGAATTTGTTCTTTTGACTTATATATATATATATATATATATATAATGATTAGCCTATGTAATCAATTGATGTGTATAATATTTACATTATTAGACAATAAGCGAGATGTTGATTTAAGCAACATAAAGGCAGTAATTAAAGCGCCAGCAGACAAGTAAAGATGTTCAGATTTTTTATCCAATGCAATGTAATTCATGTTTATGTTATGTGAAAGAGGACGATAATTGTAAGAAAGGAGGGCAAAGTATTCATATATATATGCTAGTAAAAGTATTTCTATATTTGTTTGAAACTGTCCGAACAAAAGCTTAGGGAAATGGACCTTGCATTCCTGGCTGATAGTTCGGTATAATTCCACCTTTTATGGTAATTGTGTAACCTAGTCAAACACTGCTGAGCGCCTATGCCACTGGCCTCTTTGATTCATGAAGGTAATGACATAAACACTTATAATTACAGCTTTTTCAAGTGATGTCGCATAATTCGAAAATTTATAATACAAAATATACAAAATACGACATCTTGGAACGGCATTGCTTTCTAGGAATAGTGTATGTGTAGAGCTCAAGAATGCACACATAACTTCTACCCTACCTTTTTAAAATTTATAAACTACTCATACTATATGTTTAATAAATATTTACAGCCGAATAATTTTTTTAAAAAAAAAGAGGAAAAGTGGAGAAGAAAAGAATATGGTAACAATAATAGAGAACATTCATATTGCGGTAACCGAGATTGTGAGGCATGTGACAGTCAACAACAACAACAACAACAACAACAACAATAGACAAAAAAAGTGCTTCACAATAAAACTGCTAAATTTGAAAACGAGCCTGTATTTTACTAAAAAAACTAGAGTCTCCGAATGTTTATATGGTATTCCGTTGAAGAAAGGGAAGCACTTCCGAAGTATACCTTGATGGTCGTACATGATTAAAGCTTATTTCTACAATATAGAATCGGATCATTTTTTAATAAACCAAGGTGTGATCATCAATATTCAGAAATGATAAGAGGCATTCTCTCCGTTTATTAGTGTTTACTCACAACAACGGCTTGCCCACTTTAGTTATTTCCATTACTGAGCAACTAGAAAACTAATGAATAACGAATAACGTATTGTTCATTTTATGCTTATCGAGGCGTTAAGGAATGCACTGCCGTTATAGGCAGCGCATTTAATCCAAGAAGCACTGTTAGTTTTGTGAAAGTCTTCTGAAGGGGAGAGACTTTCATTGTCGTGTTTTGATTTGTAAACAAAGATATTATATATATTTAATGCACTGTTCACATCGCGATTCCACACCACAAAATTCACAGCATGTACTCTTCGCTTTGATCCAGAAACAGAGAAACTATTCATTTTACATTTGTTACAGATCTGACTCGTCAACGTAAACAAATTTGGTTTCCTCATTAGATTGTTTGCATTTTCGTTTGATTTCTTCAGTAATACGTTTTATAGGTGTAGCTTGTTTTCCTTTCATACTTGAACCAAAAGAACCATTTCCGACCGCAATGATCCGCTTTTGTTGAGGGGAAGAAGAGAGATCAGCGGGAGGTGGAGGTACATGTTTGCTTTTGTTTGGATTTTGGTTTTTAACGCCAACTGTACTTGATTTGTCATACTTTTTGCTGTTGTCAAAGAGTCATTTAACAATTTCTTGAGTTTCTTTTTGCTTGTTGATATACGTTTTGAACTTTAGCTTTTGAGACCTATGTCGCACGCAGAGTTATTAAAATACACACCATGTAAGAGAGCGACATACCATTTATCTTGACATTAGTAGTTATAGATTCTTGGATAGTTTTGTAGACGTGTAGAGGCAGCTAGTAAAAATGAGGTCAAATTTGCAGTTTTTAAAGTAGGTAATTCACTAATATACCTAAATTTGTCTAAATAACACTCTTGATACTCTTTTCGTTTTCTCGTAGCAAAATTATAACCACATAAATGATAGTATTCTTCCAAGCTTGTTGTTCGGATACGTTCATGTTCTCTACTTTCAGGAACCAAATGCTTGTCGCACAAATGTGATGTTCGACTTGGAAAAAACATTAACAAATGCAATCAAATCATGAGACATTGCATATTTTCCGGCGTATTTTATGGCTGACAGTGATGATAAGATAAGCTTTGTTGATGAACGAACATTTTAAAGCTCTGAAGCAATTGCATCAAGAGACACACTTGACTCATTTCTGCAAAATATAAAATTTATGCACCTTTGTTACAAGTCAAAGACATGGTTTTGATGGTCGAAAGGATTTCATTTTTGTTCCGTCTCTGCTATTATCCATGGTTCTTGATCATTACCTATTTCACATATGATTATCATAGATGGGAAAACAAGAGTCATAGAGAATAATTATAAAAAAGTCCTTTGGCTCGACTATCTGCTGGAAAATCTGAGTTTTCAACGGGAGAAACATCCTGCCGGCCTAATAAGCTTTTACTCTTCCTTGAAAAATCCCTGCTTGGATGCTCATCAAGCATTAAATTCAATACTGTCAAAGTTGAAGCTAAACTCCAGTGAGGCTCGTATACATTCAGCTCATTTTCTCTGGACATAAAGCTTATTCTTCATGCTGGTCAACTACTGCAATCATAATGAGCATTGACTGACATCATTAATTCAATTCTTCAATGATGAAAAAGGAAAAGAAAGCCATAAACGTCAGACGTTGGTGAAGCATGAGCTTCAACTTTGCTGTAGATGTCTAAGCACTTTTACTTTAGGACACCGCTGCCAAAAAAAGTCGTCACAACGATTACAGAATTTTTTCATTTTTTGAAAAAGTGCCAAAAAGTCATACTTCTTTTCTTCAACAGTTTGCCTTATTTCATAATGCAACCAACTTATATACCACCACACGGTAGAAAATCACCTTCTCGTAACGACTCTTCAAGTGCTCCTCAGCCCAACAATAGTCAGAATAACGATAAGAATTGGCAAAATAACCAATACGTACGTCAAAATACATGTATATCGACTTATTTTTAATATTCTATAGTATCCTTCTTCTACATACTACGGCTCCAACTACAGCGGTCAAACATTCGTTCGTCCTCCCACTGGAAATAAAGCGATTCCCATTATTAACCCCAACAATAGGGAAATAGTTCAACCTCCAGCCGCTTCTAAAGACCAAGAGAAGCCTTCTTCTCCTATCAGGATTGTAGACCCCACGGTAATTATCCATATACACCTTGTGTACCGCAATATCTCGAATGAATAGAATAATAAACTCTTTTTCTCTGTTTAGGATCAAGAAAAGGCAGACGATGTGGATGATAATAAAGCCGATAAGCAGGAAAGAGAAGAGACTGTTGAATCCAAAGACGTACAGGAAACAGCTGCCGAAACCAACGAAGCCAACGAGATACCTGAAAAGAAGGATGATATAGAGAGTAAAGTAACAAAAGATGCATCAGTGGAAGAGTGCACTACTCAGCAAGAAGAGCCCAAGGGAGAAACAGACTCTAAAAAAGCAGAACCTAAGGAAGAAATAGCTCCTAAGGAAGAGACAGAATCCAAGGACGAGGCAGGCCTTGAGCAAGCCGAAGAAAAAAAGGATGAAGAAGAGCAAGAAGAACAGAAACCAGTAGAAGAAAAGGTGGAAGTATGCAAGGGCGATCGCATTATCTATGATATTGCCTTTATGATGAAGTTTAGAGATTATAAGGCACTTCCAGCCGACATCAACATGGCTCCATTTGAAGATATCAATACTGAACGATCTGGCAACGACCGAGGCGGACGCAGCATGTCACGACGTCAAACATCTGAACGTGGTCGTGGACCACGCGCACCTGGTCTTGCTGGTGAAGGTATGCTTCGCAGTGGCTCCAGCCGTGGACCTCGTCGCCAAGACAGCTCTGGACCTGGTTCTCCTATGGACCGTCAAGGCTCAAATAGAAATCGTAGCAGCCGTGGTGGCAAGTCTCGTCGTGCACCCAAGGAATCTAGAGAAGACGGTAAGGACAGTGTTCCTTCAACCCCTGTCGAGGAAGTAGCGCCCTTACAGAAGAGCCAGAACCGCTGGGTGCCCAAGGTGCAATCTTCAGAAACAGCTGAAGCTAAAGAAGAACCTGAATTGATCTCACAAGACATGATCAAACGTAAAGTCAAATCACTTCTTAATAAGCTCACTCTGGAGAAATTCGATTCTATTTCTAATCAGATCTGGGAATTTGCCAAACAATCAGAAAAAGAAGACGATTCTGAATCCTTAAAGACAGTGATCGACCTCATTTTCGATAAAGCGTGTGATGAACCTCCTTTTGCCAGCATGTGGGCACAACTCTGTAAAAGACTTTACGAACTTACCTCTAACAATAAGGAAATCAAGAACGTAAACATTCTTGACAAGAACAATGAAGTCGTCTGTGGTGGTCCTCTATTCCGTAAATATCTCTTGAACCGTTGTCAAGCCGATTTCGAAAAGGGTTGGAAGCATGATCTTCCCAAGATTGATGAAAATGACCCCAATGTCATGCTCACAGACGAATACTATGCTGCTGTCAAAGCTAAGCGTCGCGGTCTTGGTCTAGTTAAATTTATTGGTGAATTATTCAAGCTTCAGATGCTCACAGATCGTGTGATGAAAGAATGCTTGCGAACTCTGTGTAGTGATCCAAAGAACCCTGAAGATGAAGAAACTGAGACAATGTGCAAGTTGCTTATGACTATGGGTAAAGTCTTTGATACAAGTAGTCTTAATAACAAGCAATGGCTCGATGTCTATTTTGCAAGAATGAAAGAAATGTACGAAAGTAAAACTCTAAGCTCCAGAGTTAAATTCATGATTTTGGTACGTTTGATTTATTTTAAAAGGGAAACAGGTTTATTAACCTTAAATAGGATGTGATTGATCTTCGTAAGAGCAAATGGACACTGAAACGTGGTAATGAAGTTGCGCCTACCACAATCGCACAAATTCACGAAGCAGCCAAGAAAGAAAGCGAAGAAAAGGAAAAGGAAACCATGAAACGCTCTGGTAGCTCCCGTAGTCTTGGTACTCCTATATCCCGTCAAGGTTCTTCAAGAAATCTTGCTAGTCATAGTAGATAAAGGTAGCTTAATTGTAATATTTTGTAATAAAAAGTAAATCAAGTCAAAACAATTGAAACTCACAATTGAATAAGGGTGAGAGAGGGGGTAGTTATTCTAACGGATACCATCGTTTACATAATTTAGGATGATAAGGATAGCCTTTACATACACAAAGGAATTAACGTAACAAAGCATCTTTAATCATTTATGTCTGATGCACACACAACTGAATTAAAGGGTTTTATTTAAAAGAAAGGCTTATGTCTGCTTTGCTCTGAATTTTAGTAAAGGCGCCAAAATTTCTAAAGGTCCAGCCTTTTTCAGAAATTCATGCTAAAGAAAAGGTTAAGTATTGATAAACGATAATTTAAGTGTTCTTACATTTAATAACTCTGCAGAGTTTGCACGAGATCGTACATCAACACAGAGACAGACAGCCAAAAATGATTTCAACTCGGTTGAGAGTCTCTCGGGATGCCTTAGTGTGGGTGTTCCATTTGTAGCAATTAAATAAAGGGCCTTCAATGGTTCTTCATCAAGATAAGGTGGCTCATTTTCAATCATTTCAATAGCCATAATACCCAAAGACCAAATGTCCACCTTTGCCCCGTACTCCTTTTGCTTGACGACCTCAGGAGCCATCTGGAATGACTGATTAATGTTTTTTTTTCTTATGAAATAATACACTTACCCAGTAAGGAGTTCCAATCATTGTAGCACGCTTTCTTTTTTGATCCGTCAATTTTGCGCAGAATCCAAAGTCACTGATCTTGACGTGACCTTGAGAGTTCAATAGGATGTTGTCTGATTTAATATCTCTATGAATGATGTTTTGTGAATGCAAATGGTGTAAACCATGGATAGTCTATAATAGAAAGATTAACATTTGCCTTAGTTTTTTTTTTTTTTTTTTTTTTTTTTTTATCTTTACCTCAAGACACACGGTGGCTATCTGTTGTTCTGTCATTGTGCTGTTATTATCAATCACATCCGTCAGTGCACCGCCTTCCATATACTCCATAACAACCCATAAATCATTATTTCCAACGAGGAAAGAGTCCAGGTAGTTTACGATATTGGGATGCTGTGATTCTTTCATGACAAGTATTTCATTGACAATCAATTCTTTACGTGGCTGAGTGCTTAAATCCATTTGCTTTACTGCAACCTTTGTGTTGGTAGCAAGTGAGACTGCCACAAAGACTGAACCAGATGCACTATAAAAAGGTAAAGACTTGTTTTCATAAATGTAAAAATAGTTACCCTTGACCAACTCGCTTCACTTTTTTATAGCAGTCATTAGGATCGCCCTTGGAGACAACAGAACCTAAACACAAGGTTAGTTTAGCAAAAGCAGCAAAAAAAAAAGATAAACTCACGAAGTTTTTCCATGATTTGCGCTTCAGTCATCGTACTGATCCTTTGTTCAACTTTCTTTTTGGAGGATACTTGAGCAGCAGCCTTTTCTCTTTCTCTTTCTCGGAGAATACGCTCCCGCTCCCTTTCTCTTTCCATATCGATGGCATCCTTTTGATGATGATTGTATTTATTATGGTCATTATTAGGTATCTTTTTGTCTAGGTGTAATTTAGATTCTAGCAACTGATCAAGTGGTGTATCCTGCGTTATCTTTCCGCTTGGAATAGGGACATCATGTCGATCTCTTGATGGCAACGTATAGTTATCCTAATAAAAGTCAGTTAAAGTTAGGGGAAATGAACGGAACCTTACAGAGACATTCGATTTAGGTGAGTTTTGTAATACTTGATCCTAATGAATCAATAAGTTACCGTCACACCTTGAGTCTCTTGTATTTTACCTTGGATTTTTTATCACTTGACGTACTACTCGTAGACACACTGGCATGTGGCGGAGGTGGAGCAGGTCGTGTGGGAACCATCTTGGGCGGAAGTTTGACTGTAGGTATGGGCGACTTTTCTTCCTGCATATATTTTGCCCAATTGAGACCACTCATCCGTTCGACTGCACCCTGAAGCTCAGATGTACCGTATTCTTCTTCTTCTCGCTTCGTTTGTTCTGCATAAAATTCGAGTACGTCCAAGACAGCCTGGGGATTCTTGGCTGCATCCTCTGCTGTAATGGCTGAACCTTTCAAGAGTCGAGTCCATTGGTCAGGAAGACCCTATAATGAAGTTTGTAAATGAATATATTATCTGGAACCTGAACTTACAGTAAAAGCACCCGTGATTGGATCAAAGCCGACGTGCACCTTATGAACAAAATTGGTTGGCCCTGAGGTACCCACTGAAGATCTCTTTTGTGGAATGTTAGCTTAATTGACTGTATATTATATTTTTCCATACATTGTAAATTTCGTCCATCCAACTGTAAAGCTCTTCATCACTTTTGCAGGCAATAAAATAAGTTTTATCCTTTGCAGTAATTTCGAAACAATAAGGTTTTAGGTCCACTCTTGTTACTGATCCAATTTCTTTTAAAAACAATAAGCCAATACACTGACCAGCCTAATAATTATGTAAGCAAGGGAAAACTAAAAAAAAACTAAAGTTTATACTTCATTTCTATGAAAGGTTAAAGATTGGTCTCTAAGCACACAGTATCTCTTTGACCATATCCAGGCCCTGAGTCCTTCCTCCTTTAATGAAATATAGCCTTCTTTAATGATGTCAGGCATAATATCGAGGGCTTATATTGAAAAAAAAAAAAAAAAGGTATTAAAAGTAATAAAAGAAAAGGGGAAAAGAAAGGGAGAAAGGAACCAATAAATTAACTTCTTGGAGCACTGTCGGTGTTCTATCATAGTGTAACATACACTTTCACTCTAGTTCCCCTTCCTTCCCTTCTGTTACAGAAATGTGCCCTCTTAACAGTCATCGGCTGCATTGACTATCATACACTTTGCAAATATAGAAAATGTGTTAACAAGTACTCTTAGAAGATTCAGATCAAATCAGCCGAAAGTGGCTGGCAACGAAACTTGCCCAGATGAGTACGAATTCGCTGCACAGTAGTCGGAGATAGAGGCAATGTAATGAAGAAAGGAAATAAACGTTGAAGAATAATATATGGTAAAGTATGTAACTTTACAGGCCTAATTGCTGTGTAAGTATTGTAAGAGACTAAAGAAATTGACAACAATTTACATCAAACTGGGGTTCATCTCATTTAAAGCCAATGTTATACCTTAAATAATACCTGAATTCAAAAAATCCCTGAAAAAGTATTTTTTAGTCTGTCAGCCTAAAAAAATAGTAAAATCAGGACCTTTCTGGAGATTTTGCTCGCATCCCAAAAAAAAATATGTCTTTACTCTGTCCTTGAAGTGGGGTTTTTTTGGAGGGTATTCATACCAGGAAGTCATACTGTATTTTTATTAAAAACCGAATAAAGAATTTAAACTTTTATAAGGAGACTAAAGAGGGCTATTTCTAATATTAAGTTAATATCAACTCCAAGACAGCCCGCCTGTTAATATTGCTGTCAAATGGGATAGTGAGCCATATTCTTTTTGTATTTGTTATTACTCTGATAACATTACAACGGTTTCAATATGTCATCTCAATTTGGAAATACAGTATATCCATGGATGTCAAGGTTGATACTACGAAAATATTCTTGACGACGACGAATTTACATTTCGTACAGTATGAGTTTTGTTCTCACCATTGGATGCATTTATTTTCGATCACAGGCGAATTTACTTTCCGGAAAGACAATATAGCATTTATCCATATCAATGTCGTTCTACCGTCTGCATCACTAGCAATTATGCGACATTGGGTTCCATAACTGGCGACAGCATATTTTGGTGAGGAAAGAAGAGAGAATTGCACACATTCGATGTTCCCACGGAGATGAGGTAGTAGCCTTTATTTTTTTTGAGGGGATATAGGATAGGTATGAGAATATGGCATGGTGAGAAAAAAAAAGTGTCGGCCGTTAGTGACAATGGGCCTATAAAGCGTGCTTATAAAATGCATTTTGCAAAGTGATATGATTACAGTATCTGGTGAACCAGCCCTCCCACTTGCTTGATCATAGCATGCCGTCCATTTGAACCTACCAGATGACTAGGCTTTCATATTGTTGACAAAAAGTGAATTAGCAGATGGCTCATCAATGTTTTTACTCGCTATTGGCGTGACGATTTCAGATTCTGTTAATAGATGTTGGCGCTTAAACTGCTGTGCAAATCGGATCACATCTTCCGCATATTGTCGAAGCCGTTTCGTTGATGTCTCTGATTGATCCTGATTACAACCTTTTTAGAAAGTAAAGTCGCATTTTTGCAGTTTTTATAATACAATTTATACGAAAAAGCGACAAGCCAGCGCGACATATCTTTTTAAAAATAGTGTACATTTGAGAATTTTTGTAAACCGGCTAGCCACAACATCACAGAATGATTGCGCTTGCAAGGTTAAACTGGTTGTCTCGTCTTTTTCAATAGTAATAATTTCAAGGCTTTTCTGTAAATAACTTGAATGGCGGGATCATCATACTTTTCAAGAGTTAGGATGTTCTTCTCTTGCAGCATAAAAAAGTAACACAAGGTAATAATCGGACCCATTAGACTCACATCAGTCTGCTTGGAAATAGAATCTGTGGTATAAAACTGAGCCTGTTTTGTCCATGATTGGCACGAGTGGGTAAAGAATGGGTCGTTGTCAGATATATCAAAGGAGGCATTGCGGAATTGTTTGCGGGAGAATCCTTCAGCGGAAATGACAATCAGCACAAGTAGTGATTTCGCTTCATCAAAGACGCTCAAGCAATATCGGATGACTCGAACGATAAACGAGTGGTTCACTTTGCTCTGGACCTCAACAACCACGAGTGGGAGATCGCGCGCCTATTTTTTGAGTGGCAGGTACAACAAATCAACTCGTCGTCCATCCAATTGCTCATTGGATCCTAGGTATCACCAGTGATACCGTTTCCAATCACTGCTCTGATGACTCTATCTTTAATACTCTGTTCTCGCAGTAAAGCTTCGCTGAATGCAACACTGCCAGATCGCAAGGGTAGCGTCATTGCTAGAATATCATAGTCGTGCTCAGATGTGTTTGTGCTGGAAGCGTTTTGTTGAAAGTTGCTAGAGACTTTATGGGTGTTGTTCGTTACCAATAGGATCGGCTTGTTTGCCATTTTGATTTATTGTTGACATACATAATTGTTTTTTGGGTTGCTTACCATGTAATAATTCATGCTATAGTCTGAAGAAGCAAAAGAAAAGGCTGACCACAAAATGTGTCATTCTTATAGATGCGTCATGCCCAATTCTCATTGGCCGTGATAAATTCAGGGATAATTCTGTTTTCTTATAAAATGAAACTATTTTTAATGATGAACTCTCAACCTAATAAAGAGATTATTACAGACTCATCGATACATGCTTCTCTTATACTTCAGTGTTATACATAGTTTTGTGTATAGGCATGATTTGTCTAGTGTTATAAATTAGACATAATAAAATTATGCAATAAAGTTTGAACAGCAGCACTCATGCAGGCAGATTTACTTCAGTTCTGATGAAGAACTATATAAAGAATAAATACTGACTTACAAATGATGAATAAGATTTACAGTCTTTGCATTAAAACATCTATGATCTAATGTTGTCAGTAAAGCTGCACATAAAATCGAAACAGTACCGGTGCTAGCTGGAGGTAGTTTGGTTCTTACCAAGCCTTGGTTCCATCCACCCCTTCAACTTCTTCCGCTCCTTTGGCCACTTTCTCTTGCTTTCTTTTTCTCTTTTCTCTTCTTTCTTCGGGCTGGTTATCGCCAGTCCTATTTGATGCACTTCGGATAAGATATTAACAATCTCTTTTACAAGTTCACTCACTTTTCTTATTTCTCTTTTTCTCTTATAAACTCTCTTCTTTATAATGAAAGTATTTGATATCAATGTAAATAACTGAAATACTAAACAGTTCTTTTACTTCTGATGGGCTACCTTTTATTATTATTTGTGTGAGTAATTTGTCGATAAAGTGTATCATAAATTCAACGGCCTTAATATCTTTTTTTGTAGCTATTTTTCCCACTGCCAGTCAATAACAACAGTATGACCACCAGTTTGCAATTCCTATACTAATAAAGCGCTTTGTCTTTTTTGTACTTCAGCAATTAGCAATGCTGGACATTTCTTCTAATGACTCATTCCCAAGTCATGTGTACATTCACACATAATACATTTGTGTGTACGAAGCAGATAGACAAGTATTAACAGCATAACATTAAATTATTATAAAGACTTTTTGAGCTTTCTTACGAACCTTCTTTCTTTGTGGATGATCTTAGGTTATTAGAAAGCAGTTCATACTAAAGAGTATTACTTTAATAACGACTTTACGTAAACAGGGAGAAGGAAAAGACTGACGTGAAAGGGACGATTAAAAAGATGACAAAAAATGCTTTTTCACCAGCAAAATAATACAAGAGCTGGTTTTGTAGCTTCGGTTGAAATAACAAAGACCAAATATGATGAAAAAAATGAAAACGTAGTGATTATCCTAATAAATTTTCGCTCTCATCCCTTCTTCTCCTCCCTTTGTTACGGAGATTTATCCTCTTTCTTCTTATCTTGATTGAACCATGCTAAAGTATAACCAAATAACAAGAACAACAGGCAATAACCTCATAGGCATATGGAGACCTGCTTTCATTGAGCACAATCAATCCCTCTATGCCTTTGGTGGCGGTGGACATGTAACAGACGACTTACGTTATCTTGATCTGTCAACTATGTGCTGGAAGGCACTTCATGTAAAATAAAAAATAAAAAAAGAAAAAGAAAAATGTTAAATATAGGCTGATGGGTGGCTCATATTATAGTTCTTTTTCTTTCTTTATATGTTATGTACACTATAGAACGTACAAGGCAAGCCACCATCAAGAAGATATGGACATACAGCAACCAAATGGAAAGACTCTGTTATCATCGTTGGTGGTTGTACCGATAACCAAGAGTATTGCAATGATGTGTACATATTCAATCTCAAGACGCAAACCTGGCACCGACCTACGACTGTGGGTACCATTACCAATCGCCACTTGCATAGTGCGGTTGTGTTTGAGGATAAATTGATTGTCTTTGGTGGATTTTCTAAAACTACAGATTGTAACACGTGTAAAGCTTTCAAAGTAGTGCAGGTGATACTGACATAGTTTATTGTTTATCTTTACTCTCTCTAGGCACCTATGTTCTGGATGAGATGTGCATTTTAGATCTACATACAATGACATGGACAACCCATCACAATATGCCCCCAAGATACAACCACTCTGCCACGCTTGTAGGAAATAAGATGCACATTTATGCAGGGAAAGATGAACAAGGCACAACTGTGTCTGATTTATTCGTGATCCATCTTCAAAATGAACCTTATACTGCTTATCCGTTAATTTGTAACGACCAGTTTGAGGATTTGGGTATGGTGCTGGCAAAGAGTCAGCATTTTTGCGACACTACCTGCGGGAAACTATTCGTATTTGGAAGATATGCGAACAGAAAGCAATTAGACAATAATGATAAGAACAACAGCAGCAATAGCATTAGTAGCGACAATGACCTCATTTACGGCCTTTGGATGCTTGATCTTGATACATTACAATGGAAAAAACAGGAATGCAGCAAGCATTTCGAAGTTGGCGGCTGGAACTATTTCATCGTCATAAGAGAACCATTAAATGATAAAATAGAGTCCCCTAGGCCACAAGTGTTTTGTAACAGCTTGCTATTCTTGGGCAACACGGATTCAAGCAAATCACACGGCCATGACCATTTCAGGTATTGACACTTTATATTCAAAAAGAAGTGACTAACACAAAATTACTTACAGAGATGCCTTGACTATCAATTGCGAATCATTTGGATTATACGATTTAGGAGAGCCTAGGCTACCAACAACCGAACTTCTTAAACTATTAAATACACCTGAGCATTCAGATTTCTTGATTCGAACAGGCGATGGAAAGGAAATCTACGTACATCAAGTCATACTTTTATCACGCTGGCCACACTTCAAAAACATGTGTACATCGGGAATGTTTGAGTCTGTTACGAAAATAATAGTAATACCAGAACCTTTTGATGTCGTTATGGCTTTTTTAAAATATATTTACGGCGATACCTTGGATGACTCTGAGCCATGGCAAGTCTTATGCGAATTACTGCTACTGGCTAATCTATATCAACTTCATCGTCTTAAGAAACTATGCTGTCAAAGGCTTTATACACATCATATGTCGATTGAAAGCTGTGGATATATATTTGAAAAGGCTATCATGACGGATGAGATTGGATTAAAATGGTTAACACTCAAATTTATGTTTCAAAACTATGGATCCTTTATCAAGTCAAACATATTCAACCAATTATCTGCTATTGTACAGGAAGAATTTGTCAAAGCAGTGCCTGATGAAGCAGTGCTTGAAGTTGGAAGAGCAGGATATGTTGCAACGAAAAGTATGTCTTGTGACCGTAGACAGACCTTTGTAATTGAATATCCTGTAGAAACACATACTTCTCTAGTATCTGTTGGAGATTCGTCATTAAGTTTAAGAATTTAATTATAATAAATTTAAAATATCTGTAAATTCTGCTTTTGTAAGCAACAAGACATATGTTAAACATCAAGTGACGTGCGAAGGAGAAACTGCTTTTCATACGTTCACATTGAATTATTAAAACAAGATTAAATTATATATTTTACTTTCCTGTCTTATATCTCTTATAGGTACATCATCTTTCTTTTTAATGATGAGGGATTCTTGGCATGCTTTTGAAAAAAGGCTACAACCTTGAGCCCGAGATCAATGAGACACTTGCCTTTAATTGACTGAGAATATATGTAATATCAAATGATATTATCCCTTGTACTAGTTATTGATACTTTGTCTTCATATAACTGTTAAGAACTAATCAATTAGTTACAACTTCAAATATAATATGAACAGGACAAGTTGCCAACATTTATTCATTCTATCATTCATTTAACGAAAAACCATACTTTTGCCCCACAAGTCGGAATAAAATATTTGCACTCTAAAAAAAACTTGCTTGTTTTGAACATATTTTTCAACTCAACTTGAACATGACAGTATTAAAATATCTCCCTTTATGATATTTTAATGATTGGCTTCAAGAAGAACTAAAATCAACTTTTTCTCTTGAGCACGCGGCTTCTATTTCACAAAGCTGTATGCATAGTATAAAATAAAAAAAGTTGAGAAACGACCATTATTCACTTAAACTAAACGAAATTTGACAGCTCATTTTGACCAATAGAATTCGAAATTTAGATATATTTTGATCATCCCATGTACTCTTTAATAAACAAAATCGGCACTACACATGCGGAAATACATTATGCTACGCAGTGGCTTGCAAAAACTGAGTCGCTAATTTAGCAAAGGGAGACTACAAGCCAAGCCTTCTTGTGCAACATCTTGTTTTTTACTTACGATCTGAGTGAGAACAGGCTTCGAGAAAGGTCATTTTCAGATCAAGAATGGGTGAGGCAGCGAACAAAAAAAAGAACGGGAATTAGTCAATTTATTCAAGTGTGAAGGTGCTTAGTGAGAGCAAATATAGTGTGATATGGTTGAGTCATTTCATATGCTATCGAGAGGAGACGCTTTTTCACAAAAGAATCTATGGATCACACACAATGCCTTTATTCCCGCCGGTGTAAAGTAGTAGGTGACAAAGCAAAGCTTACTCTTGTAGACATGACGCAGCTTAGCAAGCTGGGGCGTTATTATGGACGCTTTAGATTTGGAGAACGCATGTGCTTTGCATAGACCAAGAAAGTTAAAAAACGATTATTAGTTACGGCTAATTATCCAAAGTTATAAAATTAGATATGTCCTACCTGTAACTCATACGTATACCATGCTACGTTAAACTTTTACAACAGATTGATCATTTTTGGGCATTCGGCTATTATTACCACTTCCTCTGTGTTGGCGGTCGTTGTAGGGTGCGTAGCTGAGTTGATAGTCTTCATCCGCGCCAGCCCCGCACCCTTCCTTTGTCCTCCGTTGCCATAAAACTCGACATACCCCAGTCCTCCACATTTGACCTTTCTGGTTTTTTTCTACGCTTAATAATTCTGAATAATCAGCAGGTTAATTCTTACTAATTTTAAGTAAAAGAAAGGGACGCTTTGACTATCTAAACTGAAATGATTCTCATATTAATTAAGTTTAGACTTTGGCTCCATATAAAAAAGTATTAGTGGTGTGCAACTTCGTTTTTGGAAAAAGATTTTCTGAAAATAAGAGCCTGGCAAAGTTGAACGGTGTCCTACTTTGTCGGAGTATATTCTATTTTCATTGTGAAGAGGAACGACACACAATCCACTGTATACAGGTATATTTTTCTTTGTAGACATGTTTCTAAGCATTCACATAATTATAAAAACTTTAAATGTACTACATAATTTGTCAATTAGTAAAAGCTTAGTTCTGCCAAGAAAGACACTTATAAGCCAAAAGAAATAATGTTTTGATATAAGTACACATTATAATGCTATTTAGCCACATACAGTGTGAAATTATTTAACCTCGGCAAAATATGACGTGAAAGCCATATATGAGCATCTGTTAGATGTGGCTTCTTTATAGTATAATCAAAGCGTAAAAGTCACCGAGAGTGGCGCTATTTTTTTTTTTTAGTAGATCCTTTGAACAATGAAAACCAATAGCAGAATTCTTGGCTTATAAATTATTTGGTTTGATTATTATGTGTTTTTCTTTGCTTTTAAAAATAGAAACGGACTGGGTTGTGATTGGTTATTTTGTTGTACATAACGAAATCTAAAAATAGATTTAGACTAAAAGTTGGAATATAAAAGGATCCAATGTTTTTATCTTTTTCTTTCTCTATATCACAACACAATTACATACACATACAACATGAAGAAGACTGTTACATTTGAACCTATAGATACTATTTACTATACATACAGTTCAGAAGAGTACGATAGATCCTACTTTGCATATATTACACCCTGTATAAAATATACTTTCCGGCCAATGCCAGGTTTAGACTGTGAGCCAATTAAATCCTCCGCTATTCCACAGAAGCAGCAACAATGTAACGGCAATAGACCACCCATTGCACCCCTTGATCTATCTGTAATACCTAACTCAAGAAGACGTGTACTCAATTCACCAGTTGAAAACTCATCTTCTACCAAGAAATCTCGTAACAAGCCAAATTTGTCAATCAATACCAAGTTACTACCAGAAGGACCATTATTCTTTACTGGACTATCAACACATTATAAATATAAAGAAGAAGAAGAGGAAGATTATGGTTATTTGATTCCTGTATCAGCCTGTTAAATATATCTTATACAAATATACACATATGTATATATTCATATACTCCTTTGAAATCATGTACAAATATACATTACGTATTATATAATCAGCATAAATCATTAAAAGTCATCATGTATTATATTATTCCATTAACTAAAAGATTAAGAATAAAAAACAATGTATTGTTCATTTTATATTTATCGAGGCGTAAAGGAATGCACTGCCGTTATAGACAACGCATTAAATCCAAGGAGCACCGTTAGTCTTTTGAAGGTCTTCTGAAGGGGAGAGGACTTTCATTGTTGTGTTTTGGTTTGTAAACAAAGATATTATATATATTTAATGCACTGTTCACATTGTGATTCCACACCACAAGATTCACACTTGAGGACAGCATATAACCTTCGCTTTGATCCAGAAACAGAGAAATTATTCAATTGTTTGGATTTGCACTTGATGTTGATGTTGGGCTCTCATGGTCACTCAATATTTCCTGCGCATGGCAGTAAATATGTGTGAAGGAATTACACTGGGCAAGTATAGCTGAACGAACTCTCATAATCTTGTGTTTTAAATTTTCATTCCTTTTTGGTCATCTCTGAGCAGCATTCGAAGATGCACTATTCTTAACTGGAAATAGAGGTCCTTGACAATGACAAAGGGTATCGTGAATTTGATATGCATTAAATCCATCTCTGTTACTGTTGACATTATACTCATCAGCTGAAACAACGTCGCATCCCAAAGACATAAACGCAAAGAAAGCGTTGTACTGTCGAAGTTTGTCCTTAAAGTGATAGCCTTGTGCGTCCGTTTGAGCAAAGAGGCCCACCAAGTACTAGGGCAAGTGCATTCAATATCCCAAATATAGTAATAATCTACATCTCTGTTGATTAACTGCAAGCTAGAAATACTATCCTTCTAGACATTCTTACAACATATATTCATCACACCAAAGAACAACCATTAACATTAACCGTACTAGTAGTGCACTCAGCATGACGTTGTTGTTATTGCTTTCAGAAAGCCACATTATCTGGCGCTGCATTAAATTACATTCATATGCATATATTAAACATTGAAAATAGAAATCGTTGTTAAAATGTCTGATCTAGCCATAGGTTGTATTCGTTGTCTTGGAGATTACATAAAAACCTGTAGGGAGCCTATCGAATACAATGATCCGAATAACCGTCTCTCTTTCCCATCAATTATGTTCTCAAATTAAAAGATTCATCGTAAATACACTCAATTTAAATCCTGACTACTTTAATATCAAACACTTGATGAAAAGTATGCCGTCTTAAAAAAGAGAATCACAAGTATTACAAATAACAAGATGAACAGTCTTCAAAATAAACTTACTACAGATACCATATCTTTTCTATAAATCGTTTGGTTACAGGTGTTGCTTCTTTTAGTCAGTATATATCAATCGCATAATAGGTAAAACTAATTCAATCAATGAATTCCTAATAAGCTACTGTAGTGTACCCTATTTAGCCGACTTGTTCAATTTTACTCATTCATTCTGCATCTGGATTTTTTTTTTCTTTGTTTAGTGTCTACCAATGACATCAACGTTTCACATTCTACAAAGTATTTTGGTAGAAATCCCAGGTATATACATACTATCAGTCTATCTGTTGTCTACAATATCCCATTTATAAAAGATGTCTTATTGTTTGCATACATAGATTGTTGAATATATTATCCATTGTTAGAAAGAATTGGTTTTTCTTTATTCATTAAAAGCAGATTCAATAGGCCCCTCAAGATATTACTCCCTTAAATTGTCCACGTTTCATCCAACTTGCATTCGGTGAAACGCTGAAAGATCGTTATTTGCGTATATTTGCTTTTTATATTCTTTTGTTTACTTGAACATCAAACCAGGATAAGCAACTGAAGGCTCACTTTCTGTATAAGTATTGAACATATGATTTCCCACTATTTTCTGTATGTGCTTGTACACATGGACCCTTTGCAGAATTGGTTACTACAGTAACATATAATGTGAGATGAATGAGATGCTTGTGCAACATGATTAGATTTTGAAACAGAAAATACTAGAGTTATATCCCAAATATGGTCTTATTTACTAAACTTAGTGCGGTACCGGCAAAAAGGCGAAAACCAAAATGGAGCATATAAATAGGGCCTGTCATTATTCAGTTTTTCCGTATTTTCTGGACATATATAATATCAACATGTCGGAAGTGAAAGGTATTGGCAGTTTTGGAAGCACAGCTCTCTTGGTATCGTCGATGACTGTAAGTAAGAATATGATTTCTTGTAGAAATACTGATAACAGCCTTGTAGGGGCCTGGTCTGTCCACTATTCCACCACTATTTCAACAAGTAAGTCTATGTCACTTCTATCGACATAAATTATTAATATATGCTCGCGTAGTCCGGTTGGGTTGCTCCCGTCTTCATATTTATTATTATAGCCATCCTTTCTGGTTGCTCTGCTCTCTTTGTGTGCGAAGCATTGTCTAATATCAAAGGAAATGAAAAGTTCCAGGTAGCGTATGATAGATTATTTAAAAGACATCAATTAATTTATCCTGTGTATAGTCAAAAGTTGAATTAACAACTATAGCACAAGTTTACCTCGGAAAAAAATACCATTACGTTTTCCAAGTTCTATTGTATCTGGCACTTCAAGCTGTCAATGTCGCAAGTATTATTCTCGCTGCACAAGTATGTACTTATCCATTTTTTTTTTGATAACTAACACTCAATTACCATACAAGACATTTGACAGCATGTTTATTACCATATTCAAAGGCACTTGTGGTCTTGGTGTCTCTCCCGGTGGTTGGTTTTGTGTAAGTAATGCTACTGGTGCTGGCGGCAACTCCCCATTCCCATCTGAAGACTACTACATCTTTACATTCGGGTTTCTATTGACAGCAGTATTGGTCATTCCTTTAGGATTTTTCAGCTTGGTTGAAAATATTGCTATTCAAATGACGTCCTTTATCGTTTTGACCGCCATTATAATACAGTGGTGTGTTGCCTTCTGCCAGGAAGGGCTGAAACCAGAACTATTGCCTGCAAGCGGAGGTAACTCTACAATGGTTCTAGGAATCGTTATTTTCAATTATAGTTACATAACAACAGTAATCACATCCCTTGTTTTTGAATACTCTACGTATCTAACTCTTTCTTGTGTAGATTCCATCTTGGGTAAACAGCCTAAAGCCAAATGTTAATATTCATAGATGCATGTGGATCTCTATCGTTATCTCTACAATATTTTATCTCGTACTTGGTAAGATATACAAACCATTTCAAACTCCATATCAACCATCATTTTTAGGTGTGCTTGGAGCAATGGCGTATCAAATGACTGCATCCAGTGACATATTATCAATTCTCAGTCAAAATGGTAGCGTTTATTTTGTTTATGTATATGTAGTACTAATGTTACATTGTAGGCTCTACTGCTTCGTTAGTAACAGCATACCTTTTTCCTGTTTCTGCATTAGTTACTTCGATTCCAGTATTTACCATAGTCATTAGATCGAACCTTCTTAGAGGACAAATCTGTAGTAGATCATGGGCAATATTTTGGTCAAACTTTCTGCCATGGGTAGTTTGTATGTATGTAATACGAGTACAAGAGAGTGATCATCCCTCGTACTAACAAAAAGTTTATTTTAGTCCGCTCCAAACAAAAGATTATATTGGTACAATACAAAATTGGAGCAGCTTGTTTTTTCAATCAGTAATATTCTTTCATTCCTTTTAAAACATACTAACTCTTTTTTTTACTTTTGACAGACTGTAAACTTTATTTTACCTTTCATCCTTTACTTTGTTTCAAGAAAATATGAAGCAGCTGTAGAACCAGTTGTACCTGACATTGATGTTCGAGATCTAAAATCAACGTCGCCTATACCTCCGCACTTGAAAAGTCCTTCGTCAGCCATAAAGCATCCTGATGATAACGACGTTCGCATGTATAACCCAGAGGACAATTATTCTATTTCAATCCGAAGATCAAGTATAAAGCACTCCAGAGCAAGTCATGTCGAGAATTCAGTAATTGTGTATTCTCCTAATATGGATAAATCCATGGTACCTGCCATTATCTACAGTGATATAGCATCTATCGATGATCAAAAAGGATCAAACATACTCAACTCACCAGGCAGCAAGCCCATTACGCATTCACCTAATAGTCATTTGAAACCTCTATATCCAAGTCAACCTCTATCAACCCCTTCCTCCAATACAGTGATCAGCCAAAGCGGGACTATAAATGGCTTGGGTATCTCACATCCTACTTATGAAAATGATAGACTTACCAAGAATATAAAGGAACCCAATCCACAGCTCGCAAAAAGTACATTATCACCAACCAGTACTTCAAAAAGCCCGCCCTACATGTCTCCAAAATATAAGCATAAAGATGGTGCATCTCCCAATATTGATAAGCTCACTGTGCCAACAACACCAGAATTAAGCCATGCCTCAGCACCAGGTTCACCGTCAATAATGTCACTCCGACGCTCATCCATGCTTGCAAGTGCCCTTTCCTTTAGGTCTTCTGTGGTTGCACCCGAGGGCGCTGCAGTTATACACGCTGAAAAGAAAGAAGGCGGTGAGAATAATAATCGATTTATAGCGTTCAAAACTACACGATGGTTCAACCCATTTTATTTGGCTATCATTGTATGCACAGCGTTGACAATTGCCATCGTATTCATGATAATATACGATTTAGTAATGTTAGGTAGAGGAGATGATGTCTTTGGATAAAGCAAGAGGTGTTTCTGAGTCATTGTCTATCCTGTATAATATAAAGCAAACATTTACAATAAATATATTCATTCCATGTTTGTTGTCTCTCTATTAATTGAACTTCAGTAAATAAGACGATGTCAGATACGTTTAAACAAATTTTTTCTTATAAATGATTAAAACCAATATTGGGCGCATGATTGTAATATTACATCTTTCCCGCCCGAGGCAGTTCAGAAAGGAAGGATAGTGGTGACTAAAAACCCTTTTGGGATCAAGGGTAAAAATGTTTTGGAAGGAGTGAATGGGATCAAGTGTAAAATACACTAGTGAGAAGGAGAAGAGAGAAGCTATTCTAAGAGTCTTTGCCCGAGGTGAGTGGGCATATAGTTGGTCAGCGGATACTCCACGAACGTGTTGTGTTAGGAGAGCGGGGTTTCCTGGTAGGTAGTGTATTTAAAAGGAAGGACAATGGATCAGAAATGGTTTGGGGTATCATGAGTCTACGGTGCATCTGGAGACAGTGAATGATATGGGCTTTTGTGAAGGACTGGCCAGGGCGCCGAGAGCTGGTTTTGTATCGACCGCCAAGGAGCCAGCCAAGACGCCAACGTATGCAGCGACTTCTTTCAGGCTTGGACATAGGTAGCCATAGACAGGGCCGAGAGAGATAATTGGGCGACAGTGCATAAGGAGAACGGAGGCATACGTAGAACGTCTATTGTTGAGGTTATCTTGGCGGTATTTTCGTTGTATCGACCGTAAAGAGCGACGATCCAGGGATTCTGGGTTGAGGGGGCATCTTTTCCAAATGGGAAACCTAGAGAGCTTGTACCATTGGGAGTGGCTGCGGGCTGGCGGATAAGTGGAAGAAGATGGTGTAACAGAGCATCTTCTGGAAGAGTAAGGAAGCGTAGGAGAAACTGAAATTGCAGAGTATAAGCATGTTCCTGCATGGCTAGTAGCTTAAACATATGTAGCATTACCGTGGTGGAAGATGTGTGAAAGCTACCGAAAACCCGACGCAAATAGACGTTTTGGGCATCTTCCAGTTGTTTGCTAAGGAATTTGGTGACCTTGGTAATGGCCAGGCCATATTCCAGTTGAGCACGGACAGTGTGACTGTAAAAGCGGGTATCAAAGAGAGGAGAAAAGCATTTAGGGCAAACACCAATAGCTGAGAATTGGTTCATAATGGCAAGGGCTTTGGTCTTGTTTTGATTGACCACTGCAACAGTATAGAGATAGCCACCAGGTCGAAAGGGTATTCCGAGGTAAGGAAAGGAAGCTTGCTTTGGAATTGGTTCGCCATAAAAGGTGTAACTTGGAGGCAGTTGCGTTGGATCTAATATAACGCATTTACTTGTGTTCCATCGGTACCCAAGCTTGTAGCTATGATCTTCGCAAGACTTGAGGAGAGTTGGCACGCCGGCCTTATCAGCCATGAGAACCACATCGTCAGCATAAGGAAGCAGTTCAACCGAAGGATAAGTTTGGTAGGGGAAATATCCGTGGTTATAGGCTGTGGACGCAGAAGGCGAGGTAACTCGTTAATGTATATAGAATACAACAACGGAGGGAGGATTGACGAGAAGCGGGTACATGTTGCATTGTTGAGCAGCACTTCTATTTGGACCTCGTCAATAAGTTTCGCAGTAGGCTAACGAGTGCTACAGGTGCTGTTTTTTTTTAGTGCGTGCCATATTTGGCGGTGATCCACAGTGTTGTATGCTGACTTGATATCCAAGAATGCCAGTAGCGAGGTTATGCGATAGTGGTAACGGAGAATGTTACATATCTCTGCTAGACAAAAGGCTTGATCTAAAGATCCTCTAGATTCGTGAAACCGGCCTTGGGCTATGTCCAAAGGAGGACTGTGATCAATCAAAAAGTGATGAATACTACGTTCTAACAGCTTTCGGAAGACAGACGTGAGGCTAATAGGTCGATGATCGCCAGACTCAGTCGGGTTGCCTTTCTTGTAAATCGGCGCTACTTGGGTCAAACGCCAGCCAGCAGAAGTGCAAGACCATTTCCAGCACAACTGAAACAGAAACAGCAGTATAAGTGCAAGGGAGTGCTGTAGAGGAGCGAGTATATCTTGCCGGTGATGATTAGAGCCTGGCGCCTTCTTAAGTGGCAGCTGTCTAAGAACGTCTTTGACATCATCCAGTAAAATCGGGCAGGTATCTTGCGAAAAAGGAGTAGAACGATGCCGTAACGAATGATCTTCGTCCATATATTGGAGTAGTCGTCCTGAATAGATTGTTTGCAAGTGCAAAGCCATTGCTTCAGCTGCCTGTTATAGGCCTTCTATGGTAGAAAAAGAGGATTTTAGGTTTCTGTTTTTACACATATTACACAGCCTTGCAATAGCTTTAGTATACTCCCTCTTTTCCATTTTGTTACAGAAATCTTTCCAGGTTTCTCGCCTTCGTTGCTGGATCATTCTGCGCAATTTAGCCTTAGTTTCTTGGTGGAGCAGTCAATACTTTAGACAATTTATTCCTTGTGCTTTCCGCCATTTCTTGTAGTAGTATTCTTTGATATCAAAGATCTCTTGTAAATTGCGCGTTAAAAACTGTTGTTGGAAATCGTCCGTTCACCTTGTATGATGTCCATAAACCAAATCCAGAGATTGATAGATCGTTTGGCAAAGGGCTCGATTGAATTGCTCAATATATGTCACTGCGAAGGATCTGTCGTCAAAGGAAGGGATGTTGGTTGGCATGAGATCCTTAGTGAGATGAGAAAAGTGTTCTAGATATTAAGGCCTGGACTGATCATCTTTTATCTTGTTTAAATGCCATAGGATTCGTTTGGGTGCATTGGTTCTCGAGGGTAGTGTTGTCAATTGAAAGGAGAGTGTCATAAACTTATGGTAGGAGTCAACCGATAAGTCGCCTCTGATTAGTAACTGTGGGTAAGGTAGCTCTGTCGTGACGATGAAATAGTCGATAATACTACTACCATTAAAAGTCATATATATGGGTGATTCATAGGTCAATCTTTCATTCCATATAATCATATCATGCGATTTGGTCCAGTTATATAATATTTGTACTCGGTGAGTATGAAAGTATCTCCAGTGATATGCCCTAGTCGTGTGTTGAGGTCGCCGCAAATGATCGTGAGTATAATATTGGGTAGATCTAAGGGTAGTAAGTCAAGGATATTGGAAACTTCTGTATGTGACAAAGATGGAGGTAAGTACTTAGCTAGTAGAGAATGTCTGGGAGGGATGCATTGTACTGAGAAAAGACAGGAAGGATTGACTAACAGGGCAATACCAAGGCTACCTCGATTCTTGATTGATTGGATAGGTTGACCATAAGTGTGAAATTCCTGCCAGAATATAGGATACTTGTTAGGTGAGAGGAGTCAGGATTCGGTAATTAAAAGAATGGAAAAGGATTCAGCTAATTTAAGGAGTGGCGAGATAGCTTGTTTTGGTAGACTAGTGGCGTTGAATAGCGATATGCTAATAGTGGTCATTATAGTTGGGAGGTGGTATCCTCATGGTCCGAGAGAAGCATAGCAGCATCCTCATCAACATTGAAGACCTCTTTTGGGTTAGTGACTTTAGTAGGAAGGTTTTTGTCAATGACGGATTTGCTAATCCAACCCTGATTGTAGAAATAACGAGCTGCAGCTGCCTTGACTGGAGTACAGACTTAGATCAGGGCTTTCTTCACGCAATCACTATGGTGCATGAGGGCAAAGTCGTTGTGTTCTTCTTTAGAGCAGTGTCCATATTTGGGGTCCATGAGGATTGAGCCATCGCAAAGGTTGAAGTCGTCCTTGGTGCGTACCTTAATTTTTGGACGTAAGATTTCAGTTCAGGCGCGTAATCGTTGTGGACAAGTAGGGCTACAACGTTGCGAGTGGGGTAATGAATGTCAAGAATGCGGCTATTGTTAATGTCCAGTTGACGAAGACGACTTCTCAATTGCCCGACGGGCATACGGGCCGTAGTTGGTATGTAGACATGCTGAAAACCTTAGTTCTTGGAAGGTGGTTGTAAAAATCGAACAGTAGTTTCCTGACGTTGGATTCGATGTCGTTGACACTTTTCGAGTATGGAGGCTTTGATACTATTGAGCTGGGCTGCGTCTCGCCAAGGAGGGAGTGGTTGGGAGGAAGGGCACAGAGGTAGGAATTGAGGATTGTTTAAGTCAGTATAGGGCTTGGAATCAGCGGAAGCTTGTTGTTTACGCAATGCTTGGATTGCACTGAGGGCTTGTTTGAGTTTAGCTTGGATTTGTTTAAGTTCGGCATATAGTTTCTCAATGGTAGATTGCAAATAGGCTATGGTTACACTGGATGCCAAACCATTGTTCTCGGGGCTCGGAGATGATGATCCAGAAATTTTCAATGAGTTCTGGGCGTTGGCGTCAGGAGGTAGTTCAGTAATTGTTGAGGTAGGCTGGAGCAAATTGACCATGGTAGGTGCATTGTAGTTCTTGTTACAGCATTCGCAAATGAAGCTGGGCTGAGGGAGGTCGCCTGGCGAAGCTCCATTGTGGCATAAGGAGTCCATTGTTTGACAGCCGGTGCAAACAAGCTGCCGACGCTGGATCTCAGATTGCTTATATAGGTTTTGGATCTGTTCGCTTGAAGGAACATGTACAATAGGCTTGCGTCCTCGAACACTAGGTGACATTGAGGTTTTATGAAGTGCTGTACGTATCTTATGTTTGTAAATATGTGTGTAACGTACAACGTCAGATACACTATTTCCAGAAAGTAATGTCGCTCCAAGATGTCGTATTTTGTATATTTTGTATTATAATTTTCAAATTATGCAAACATTACTTATAGAAAAGATATTAATAGTTTCTTTATATGTTTACTCGGTTTTCTTGCTTCTCTTTTTTTCTCTTATAATGTAAGTATTTAATACCAATGTAAATAACTGATTTACTAATCTTTTCTTTTTATATCTCATTCTTCTGCTTCTTGTGGGCTCTCTTTTATCATTATTTATTGTCTGAAATTATCATTTTTTTTTATTAGTGTGCGAATAATTTGTGAATAAAGTGTAAAGTAGTTGTATAGAACATTACTTTAGATCGACTGTTCATTTATATAAAATATAGGGCGACTCGCAATAAAGCGTAATTGCATTTATATAAAAAAAAAAGAGGAAGAGCAGAAGACCAATCGGATGACTTAAACTGTGACATATATGTATATATATGTATTCAATTAAGCCTCATAGTCCTTTGAGAGGTCGTTCATGAGGCTACTTGTTAAAGTTCGATCATATTGTAATACAGGCTTGCCGTTATTTCATCAAATGGAGCGTAATTTGAAAGAAAATGTGGTCGTACTACCAAAAGATGAAACAGATGAGTAAAGACGTGTTTTATTGACAATAGGAATATGTCACGATATGCTTTATTCTCGAGTAAAACAAACAAGATGGGATAATTTTTTAAAGTCCAAATAGATCAACACTGAACTCTCTTGTTTATGCCTTAGCTTTAGATAAATAAAGATGAAAACAATAAAAAAGAAGTGGAGATGAATGCACTCATCTGGTGGACATACGACTTTTTATTTCATCAGATGACCCTTTCTTGAATAAATTACTCCAAAGATTTTTTCCTATTTCACTCGTACCGTTTATATCCAACATCTTAATACAAACAAGAAAGACTCGAGCTAAATTTTATTTACAACTTGATTCTTTAACAAAACGTAAATATCAAAGGACCTTTGTGAATTCCTTTGAATGCTTGAGTGTGTTGTATTACACAGTTTTTCAAAGCATGATCAATACTGAAACAATATTGATGTAGACAACCTTTTATGTGCTTTTGTGTGTGTGTATTGTATCAAGCCTTCAGGGTTTTGTACTCTTTTGAACAGATGACTAGCCCTATTCCTGTCGTTGGAGTTGTATTTGAAAATGTCTGAATAAAAACCCTCGTAATTTTTAATCTCTCTCTTTTTTTTGTTTCGTAACTTTATTATTTCCATGATATCTGTCGATGCTCCTTCTTCACCTCCTTTATCACCAAAATCATCTCAATCAAAAGATCTTTCAGAGTGGTCATCTCCTTTTCTAAATGCTTATGAAAATACAGACAAGAAGATGGAAGGTACCTTTAGTCTTTATCGGATAATTCTAGATCAACTATAATAATAGATTAACGCATAGCATTTTCATATATTGATGACCCCAATATTGCCCCATACCCGACCCCATGTAACTCAAAAACCATTTTGGACGAGAAAAGAAAATATCATAATGATGAGGATCAAAAGGTGGTTGCAAACTTGGAAGAAGAAACAGTAAAATTATCCAAAGAACTAGAAAAGATCGTTTCAAACAACAAAAAACAAGAGCATATCAACAAGAAAAAGCTTCAAATGTTGGAAAACGAAAATCTGTTTTTACAAGAGAATCTGATGGATGCTACCTTAAAAATTGAAAATCTTCAGCAAAAGACTCAACTCTATTCTGAAATACCTAAAAATGGTAATCACACAAGCATCTCATTGTTACTGCAAAAACACCTAATCCCCTACTATCATGCATAGATACCTTTGATCAAAATCTAAAAGAAGTGCTATTCTGTAAGATGGAAAAGCTACAGGAGGAAAGTGGACAAGTGTCTGAATCAAAATCACAGCTAGAAAGTGAATTTAAGGCTGCCACAAAGGATTTATATGATCTAAGACAGCAGTTTTATCAGTCTCAGCTCATGACGTCTGAACATGAGCAGTTGCTTAATGACTTTAAGCTACAACAACAACATATAAAGGAACTCAATTCATCACTTGAGAACTGCCAAGATGTTATCGCTCGATTGCGAGATGATGGCTTACTTGCAGCAGGAGATGCATTGTCTATCACAAGTAGTGATAACAATGAATTGCTGCACAATAGTAATAGTAGTAGCAGATCACCCTCATTCTTACATGTGGAAGACATAAGAATACAAAATAGCTTATTTACAGAATTAGGCAACGCACAATGGAAAGATAGTTCTCAACTATCCTTAGATAGTGTTGCAATGGAGAAAGATAAAGTGAATCCGTTGTCGACATTGTCCATATACAACCAATCACCAGACTGTAACTCTGCTATAGAATCCATCGTGGTAAATGCTGCTATATTGGATGTTGATACAATCAACGAGGTACTAGAGCGACTAAAAAGTCTAGAGACCAAGTACAGACCCGAACAACCATTGAAGAAGGAAGTATCGCCTTCAGCTCCACCTTCAGTTATCAGTAACCGGTCAAAGGTTACTAACAGTACACTAATCGCACGGAAAGAAGAAATGACACATACTACTGGCTTCATAAAGAGACTGATATACGCTCTTTGGCGCTGGCTAAAGTTCACAGTTATCATGATTGTTGCTCTGTACTTTAGCATTAAGGAGGGCCCTGATGGCCTTGTAGATAATAAGCTTTAACAAAAGATTGTATATCGATTATTGTTATTTACGTGTTTATATTTGGCAAGAAAAAAGTTTGTAAAAAAAAAAAAAAATAAAGCTTTGTCGAGAATGACATTTGTTCATATTAAACCTTTGCAGTTCTTGCTTCAGATATAATCTCTTGAGGGACACCAACTTCTGTAAGTGTTGATATAACAAATTCATCTTTGAATTCTTCAGGATATGTTTGGCAATGGGCATCTAGGATATGTACCAACATAACTAATATATGATGTTAATATATCTATATCTATAAATCTAATTACTAAAGAAAAAACTTACACACAGGATATGAAGCAATTGAAGGATAGAGGTCTTTGCCCATTGTTATTAATTTATTCTTTAATGCATTGCTGTCTTTATCTACAGAAAAAAGATTAAAATGACCTGTTGTACGCCTTATATCCGTTTACACTTACTTTCTTTAACTATCCTTTCCCAAGCCAATTGTGCGTATTTCCAGTCATACAATTCCATAAAGTCCATCAAATATAGAGCTTCCTCATACAAGTTTTGCGGTAGTGCGATGTTATGATAAAGTTCTTTGGCAGGTTTCAAAAAGTCGTTTAATGACTGCACTAAGCTTGTGCTATCGCTCGCGTGTCGCTGTTGCAGCGCATTACGAATCTTTGTTTGAATGGTCGCTTCTTTGTATAATGCCAATAATTCTTGCTTCTCGTTGTTAGAGATACCTGTAGACTTGCCCATGAGATCACATGCTCTTTCTAAATAATATACTCGTTTGTCCAAGTCGACATTCCTTGTTACAGTAGATAGTCGTCTCAAAGCTACAATGGCATCATAATATTCACTTCGGTACGTATAGTACTCGAATAGATAATGGTAACCTACGCTTTCCGGCAATTTTGTTGTAAAAAATTGAACAAGATGAGGTGTGGTAAGAGTAACTAGCACTCGCTCTTGCTTCTTGTCTATTAGCCATTGGTAAATTATTTCATGATAAGCTTCTTCGTCAAGCAGGTCGAGCGACTCTTGTAAGATTACTCGCAGACGCTCTTCTGGTTCGTCAAAGGTTGATCTTAATGTATCATATATAAGTTCATATATTTGTGTCTTTTGTTCTGTATTCACTAGCTGATATTTTGCTAATACTAATTTCATAGATTCAATATTGCCCTTTAAGGCGCAGTACTTGTTGCATAGTTCTTTCAGCTGATCTAATGAAATCAGTTCAACTATCTTTTTAAAGTGCGTGAGAGACTGTTCCAATTCAGGCTCTTTGTTCAACTCAATTTCAGCATGCCGTAAAGATTCCAACCCCTATAAGATATGTTAATTTTCTGTCCAACCTAGTTGTAAGGATGTTGTATATGCCTTATAAAATACTATATTGCTTTCTCCTAGTAAACATCTACAATTTTCAAATAGGTATGGAGTGAGGGTAAGTTGGCTGCGGCTTGAATCTGATATTTCAAATAGTTCAATACAGGCAACGACCACATTCTTTGCTGCAAAAGCTCCTTTTTCTGTTGAAACAAGCTTTTCAAAAATCAATGGGGCATAATCCACAAGCTTTTTCCTATATATGTTGTGTGGTAATACCTTTGGATTAGCATCTACGAGCATTAATAAAAAAAAAATCTACCTGGTCGCTTCACTTCGTAAGCAGACTTCATGAATAAATTGAACCAAGCGTACTCCTTCCTTACATCGTATGGTGTAGGTACGTAAATCGTTCTAAGGGAGGAAAGAATTAAATATGCTATAGTGTGTTATATGCCGATGACTTACGCTGATATTAATTTTTGCTTGTTGCAGGAACGAATGTAGCTTTTCAAGCTGATCCGCTACAAAATTAAATGCGTCAAGTGGTACACTACAAAAACTAATATGAGCATTCATATATAATACAAAACATCTTATACTAACTCTTCTGCCAAAATATCCACGGTTCGAATGTCTTTGAGTAACCTTGAGATATATAATAGTAACCCATTATCCACTGAAGGATGGTCATAAAGCAACGACATTGCCTCACGATTATGTGCAGGTGATATAATACTGATCAGTAGACACAAGGCTAATGCTTCATCAACGCCATACTTTTCAATAAATTCTATGATTGCTGAAGGATTTCCCTTTGTTAATAGGGTGCTAAACTGCTCAATTAATCGCTGCTCTTTATAAAAAGTAACACCGTTTTTGTTGAGTGTTAGGATTTGACGCTGTGGCTTGCCAGATGCTTCGATTATATTCTCAATATAACGTCCTGGTGTGTTCAACTCACTTTCCATAATCATGAGAGTGTCATTTAACTTTTCTGCATAAAAGTCTTCGTTGTATACCTAAAGACAATATTAGTTGCTTTCAAATAGTTGCGTACACATTGCACATATGCCTACCGGTTGGGCTTGAACGACTCTTGTCAGAGCTGTGCGAGTCAAAAGAAGGTAATTATCAGAAGATTTACTGACAATAGCCGCAAAGACACCTGAGTCATAAAAGCTGTGTTGCAAGGTCTCATTAGTGAATTGATTGAATAACAGTGATCCTAGTATGGGTGGTGCCAATCTTTCATGAACTATTCCAATACCACCTGCTTTGTTTGAAAGATAGTATCTGTTCCCTTTTCCATCAATAGCGATAAGATCGATAATTCTTGATTCAGATGTTGGTACCAGTTGAATGTCTTCCACCATGGTAGCTTTAAATTTGTGCCCATAAACAAAGTTATTTCCTTGAATATCGACGGCTTGAATAGTCGAATCCTTCAATAAGATGTAGAGGATTTTTTCTTCATTATTCAGTGCTATTTTCTTGATGGGAACTACAAAGAATGTTATTAGATTTAACTTTTGGTGTTTGTGCTTACTGAAGCAATTTACTTACCTTCAGGAACCGAATTTACAAATAGAGACAAATATCTAAAGTAGGATTGTTCCGTGATACATGAAAACTTTTTGATTCCAACAGCTAATCCATTACTGTCACGATCTATATTCAACTCATAAAGGTGTCCATCATCTCCTTGCATGAATGTTCTCCCAGTGTCAGTATTGAGAATATTTGACATAACAACGCCGCTTGTTCTCGCATTTGTCTTTGATAAAATTTTCAATCGACTGTCTGTATCTATGCTAAAGCTGTGAACGAACAGGCTGTTCCTGGTGCAGACGTACAGTTCCTTTTGTCTTTCACAAATTTCTACGCGTTCAATACTGTCGTGACAATCATATCTAAATATATTGTCTGTTTCTAAGAAGTTCCAAATGTATAAAGTCTTGTTTGCTGTTAGCCATACTCGGTTAGCATTTAACAAGAACCCAAGCTTGTATGGAATTGAAAGAGGATCTAGAGTTATAAAACATGAACATAAAGAATCAAAAACCCGTAGAATGACTTACTGTGAATTATACTAGCCAATGGCTCAGGAAAGGTCATTGTGTTTTCTTTTACAAATGCATTGTTGTTGGCATATTCATTAGAGATAGTTGTTGTGTCTAATAAGCAATCAGTTTCTGTTACAACCATAGTAGTCTTTAATCTTACCATGGAAATATGAATCCAGATTTAGTTTTGCTTTGTCTTGTTCATTTAACTGAGCAATACTATCACAAAAGCAACTAAATGCTTCATTTACACTGCCAGCAATAACATTATTCATCGGTGTCGATCAAAAGGTTGAACAAGAAAAAAAAAAAATATTTTCAGGATTCGCGTCTCTATTTTCACTTTCAGCAAGAAAAATTGATCTATGGTCTATCATCATTCATAGCTTCTCGCATGCCTTCAAAGGGAAGCTATTTAAATGGTTACATTGGATAAATGGCTCTAGGTGGCCTATTCATTTTACAAATTTTACTTTCCAAATGCGGAATATGTTGACAACGAAGCCCCGCTCAGTTTGACCCTTGATAACAATTGTATTAACTTTTTCTTTTTCTTCCCTTATTTACTGTAGTATGAGTACAATAAAGATTGGATCCTTATTAGTAAGGTAAGCTATTGTTTTATAGTCATAAATAAGCTTATCTAATAAACTAAAAAGGACATTGGCAAAACCAGTTGCAAACTCCATCAAGATGCAAGCCAAGAATCACCCAAAATTTAGAGAATTTTGTATTAATGTTGCTCAAGTAAGCAAATTAACTCATACTATAATACGAACGTTTTATAAACTTGTCCATTTTTATAATTAGACTTCACATAAATTAGAAATGACATTAAAGATGAAATTCCTAGGATATAAAACTGAAAAGATTAGACCACTAAATGATGCCAGGTTAGTGGACTATGACTATAAGAGAGAACCCGACAGGACATGAGCCCAAGAGAAAGATTCTTATGATACCTTAGAGCTATAGAGAGTGGCGCTAATTTTTTGAGCGAGGCCTTCATTTTCTCCGTAGCAGCATCTGTCATTGTTGCGGAAAGCTGGAGGTAAAATCAAGAGAACCCTGAAATTCCTATCTAACTTTATTTTTCAGGTCACATACAACAGCAAAAAATCGTAGAAATCATGTCGACGATGCGCTCGAAAATCTTGAAAACAAAACTCAAACACTGACAGAACTTCTAGAAGAGACGAGGCATTTATATAAAGCGAATGAGGAAAGGTTAAGGCAAATAGAAGAAGACAACATACAGCTAAGAAAACTTTTAGACGAGGTACTGTAAACAGCACGCATTGAATGTATGTATTCACTCAACTATCTACTTTAGATATTGTCAGTTAGTATGGGGCTTAGACGTCATACAGAATACCAAGAACAGCCTAATGTTATTACACTTCCTGGCATTTCCAATAACTAATATGGAGCATCTAAATGGACAGTCAAGTTAACAAACTATATATATTTCAAAACTTATGTTGTTGCCATAATACACCCTATTCAGCATTTTTTAATGGAAAGTAATGGATAACAAGAAAAATAAACTTTATTGTCTACTGCAATAAAAAACTGTCATTAGATATGGAATACTTTAATCTTTTAAGAGCATTTTAGAGTACAGGATTTTAATCGGTCAACACTGCATGCACCAAAATGCGGGTTTTGCTATTTGCACAACACATTTGCACAGCCTTTGCACAACCAGTGATGTAGGCAATTCAATTCTGCACAGCAAACAGCATATCTATTGTATTTACCTTATAGGTACCTCATCTTGTCGTAAAAGATTACTTTAAGAAAGAAAAATATAAAAGAAGGCAGACCACAAAACATATTCTTATATAACACGCCATGCTCAATTTTAATTGGCCGTGATAAATTCATGCAATGATGTTTATAAAATGATGTCGTTCGTAACAACGAACTCTCTCTTGCTGTGATCTTAATAAAGAGATTATTACAGACTCATCGGCACACACTTGTCTTATACCTCAGTGTTATGCAATGCTGTTTGCCATAGTGATAGTACTAATTCAATACGAATTCTCACTAATAAAGTTTAAATTCAATGAATGTGTAAGCTAAAGAAATGCTTTCGCTGGTTGACAACCTTTGCCGATGACATTAATGTAAATGGTGACTGTGCCTATCAAATCTCTTAAGAGATGGTTTGACATTCAAATGACCTAATCTTATTTATGAAATGGAAAGATCACTATGATAAACAACTGAAGCTTTTCGCTGTACCCTTTCCTATCATGCATACAGTATGCATAGTCAACGGTTTGAGTGGATGAAAAAGGCAAGTACAAAGTAACAAGTCACGTTGACCTTGATTGTTAACTCTTGCCACCCGATATAAGCTATTACTAAAAGCGATCATCTCTATTGTAATACCACAAACCACGAGTAATATGGAATGTGTATACGGATTTAAATAGCTATTTTATCTATCTAAATTATACACAAAGGATAGTTTGAAGCTCCTGCATATGATTTCCCCAATCTAGTACTACCATCGCGCTTCCTCTGCAACTTGCTGTTACTGTAACAGACTATATATTATACAACATTCAACAACATTTTGAAAGCCACTGTCTGGCTTAAAATTAAGGTTTACTTCCTACAGTCTTTCAAAATATACCTCCTCGGCTCATACGCATACTTTATCTTTATTCCACTATGGATCTTTTTAAGCTTTGACATTGTAAAATGTTAACCATCTTCTAGTATAAAGCGGTGTTGCACCTTTGTAGATCTCGTTAAAGTACGTTTACGCTTGTCGATCCTTTTGTAAGACGAAACCTATATACACTTTAGTAGCCTAGAAGAAAATCTACAAGAGGCAACAAAAGCTCCCCTTGAGTGCTTTTATTCAAAGGCTAAGGATGTATCTCGACTGTCTTTAGTGTTAATTTGTATGATTCTTGATTTTCATATATCCTGTGTCCATATTTCAGGATCAATGAGTCTACAAAGAAAAGCTCAGTTTACCTCACACTTCATGAGAATAAAGTAGAGATCTGTGGTATACATCGAAAGTATTATCTCAATGGATAATGAAAGCATCCTCAAAATATGACAAAGGTTGCAAATGTAAGAGACGTTGATTTCTAATTGGATGAAATGTGATTTTTATACAATGTGTCTTGTAATTTAATAGATAATACGTCTAAGAGTTGGCTCAAGGGCGAGAAGTACACGCCGACTCAAGTAACAGCCCTGTAGTAGATCGTGGAACAGTGACACGATCATTGCATGATACGTTTATAACAAGTTATAAACAATGCAGATCCTCCTCAACTCACATAACAAAAGCAACAACAAAGCTTTGGTGAGCAAATTAGGCGATGAATGACTGCAAATATACTTTCATCATTGATATTTAAAAATTGTCATGGTGTTAATAAAATATTCATCTTACAGCTATTTGCTTCTTTTAAATCCATTTATCGATGGGCCATAATAAATCATATTACTACATTCCTATTAGTGTAAAAATCCATCCTTATCTATAGTAGAAAGGGACCATGTAGCTTCGTCTCTTCAAAAAGTGCTTTGGGGAAACTGTTTATAATTGCAAACGACTCGATCAAATTGTTACAGTTAACTTATTAGTGGCCGCGTCAACATAAAAGTTAATATCAAACGGCTTATCAGAAAGAGAGGAGAGAGTAAAGGATCAGCTTCAAACATATTCCACATCAAAATAAGCTAAACTTATGACTCTTGTGTTCTGGAATTTATAATAAAAATGCAACAGTAATTATTAGAGATACAAGACTAAACCGAATTATTTATCAGTAGAATATTAGCCACCTTTAATGCTTGATGCGCAGGAGAAAAAGATGCCAATGATAGGCCGTTTCAAAAAGGAAAATGAGTATATATTCATATGCTTATCGCTCTAAGCAAACGAATTTTTCTCCTTAATGATTGGTGTGGTTTGTTTACACGCAAAAAAGAAAGTTTGTTCTCGCAGATGAGGTAAATTACTTTGCAGATTAATTTGATGTACGAGATTAAGCGTACATTTGCAACGATTATAAAAGAAGAGAATTGTCTTTTATTTCATTTTATATCACTTCTTCTTTGTTTTGCAATGAAACTATCCACTATTTCTATAGCCTTTCTTGTCGCATCCAGTCAATTGACCTCTGTGTTGGCTCAACAAAAATTCGATCTCACAACTAACTTCCGGGAGCCAAAGAATATCCTGTTTTCATGTAATCTTGGTGGAGCATCGCATGTTTTATGGGTATTGGAAACTCTTCAGGAACTGTCTGTTAGAGGACATCATGTTTCATGGCTAACAAAAGTAAGTGGGAATTAGTCAAGTGGTATGCAGTGAATACTTATGAATATCCTATAGGAGGATCAAGTCAAGTTCATTAAAGACTATCCTTCCGTTAAACTTATCGTGAATGGGCCTGGTGTCTTTGGAAAAGGAGAATATCGCACATTATTTGAGCAAGCATCTCATATGGATCCGGTCAGAAAGAGTGTCCATTTATTCAGTAGGACTACATTAAACTATACAGATGGTAATTAAAAATAGTTAGAATAAGTAACTTGCTAAAATATTGTAACATAGAATACTTAAAGCATCGTGTTGTATTTGATACTGAGCAAGTGGACTTGGTAATATGTGACGCCTTAAATAGAGCTTGTGTTGAAGCTGCAAAAGCAACCAAGATACCAAGTGTTATAACAGCATCATTGGCTGTGAGCCCTGGTAAAGTTATTTTTTTATTATTATATACTTTGTGCTCACTTTGTCTATCATATAGACGCTTCTGCACCATATGTTAACACAAAGTTCTTTAACATGCATCATCCTACAAGTAAAGGCCAATCATTCTATACAAGATTCACTGACAGAGTGATCAGCCCTGTGCGTTTCATTATTGGTAGCCTACCGCAAATAAAGAAATACACTCAACAGATGAAGCTTGTAGGCATCAAGGCCCCAATAAATCCTATGGATAATTGGAAAGACAGTATCAAAATTATCAATTCAGTTTTTGGCTTTGAAGTACCACGTCCCTTGGGTCCTCTTGTTGAACTTGTAGGTCCTATTCTTCCACAAAGCTATCCTGATTTGAACGTTGAGCTTAAAGCTCTCCTTGATAATCACCGTAAAGTTGTTTACGTGGGATTTGGTCAAATGGCTGTACCTACACATAAGGACATTAAACTCATCTTGACTGCCTTGCTCGAAAATATGGAGATTCAAAATATTGACGGCATTATCTGGTCCACTCGTGGTATCCGTGATCTTTTCCCTGACACAATAACAACTCGTTCGAATACAGTCTATGATATCAGCAGCTTCTTTGAAAGCCCAGCAAATAGCTCTAATATTGCATTTATAGATTGGGCACCTCAAGTTGCTATCCTTCATCATCCTTCGACTCGTTTGTTTATCACGCATGGCGGCGCAGGCTCTTTGTACGAATCAATGCATGCCGGTGTGCCTGTTGCTGTAGTTCCTTTCTTTGCTGACCAACCTGGTAATGCTGTCATAGCTGAAGAAGCTGGCATTGGTCGCTGGTTCAGAAGGACGTTAAGTCAAGTGAAGGCAAATGCTTTGGTCAAGGAGATCCTTGAGGACAAGACAGGTCAATACAGACGCAACGTAAACCATCGCAAGGCACTGGTGCAAATTAGAAACGAACGTGGTAGACAAAGAGCCGCCGATCTAATTGAAGAAGCGCTATTTACGCATAATAGTGGAAAAATAACACATAGAAGAGATGTTCGTAGAGATCTTTCATTTTTCAAGGCTTATAACCTGGATATTCATTTTGTCTTATTGGCTTCCTTACTCTCACTGGTCTATTCTATATACCGCCTTGCTATCTCTGCTTACATGTTAACTTCTAGAAGAGTTGTCATTGAGAAGTTTAAGATTGATAAGAAATTAAAAGCAAATTAAACTGTTTAATATCCCACACAGCCTTTTTAATAGCTATCTTCAATGTATTATTTAAAATAAATATATAATTTTTTACTTTTGCTATACTTACTGATTCTCCTTTTTATGTCATCAAATTAACTATTTTTAACTATTCCTTATTTATATGAAACAGTCATGATTATGCGCAGAGAAGTATAGACATCGAGCCTTATGGCGTTTGTCTATGAGAATACAGAACAAATTTTAAAGAGAGAGTGATTACGCGTCTTATTTCTTTATTATCATGATGTTAATGTGAGAGTCAGAATTCAATAAAACTTACAAGCGTCTTGAAATGTGTTAGTACGCGCGCAAGTGTGTTTGAATACAAGTGTCACTCAAAATGTCCCTGTATGCTCGCACCAATAGCATGAAGGATCGGCGTAGACTATGTGTTATGTGCTATTTCTAAAAAAAA